CAGCTGCGCGTGCAGGAGGCCATCGACGGCATGGTGCAGGGCCTGGAGCGGGAGCACATCCGCAAGATGCAGGTCGGCGGGCGAGGAGGGGGTGGGGGGGCGGCTCCTCTGGGGAGAGACACGCGGCCGCCCGTCGGGCGCTGGAGCCGGGGAGGAGGCCGGGCCGGGGCCCCGCGGCGCTTCCCTCCGTCGATCTCCCGGCGCCGGGCGGGTCGGGCTCCGCCAGCGGGCTGCTCGGGCGGCAGCGAGCGCGCGCGCGCGAGGCCTGACCCGGAGCACCGCTCTCCTCCTCCTCCTCCTCCTCTTCCTCGCAGGGCCTCATGTTCCGCTGCAGCGCGACCTGCTGCGAAGACCAGCGGTCCTCCATGCAGCAGGTGCACCGGTGCATCGAGCGCTGCCACGCGCCGCTGGCCCAGGCCCAGGCGCTGGTGACCGGGGAGCTGGAGCGGTTCCAGGTGAGAGACCGTTGCGCCGCCTCAGGTGACCGGATTCTGATGCCCTTGAAAGCTGGAGGATGGACTCGCTTCTCCCGCAGAGGAGAATCGCCCCCTCCGGCCCTTCGTCTCCTCCGGCCTCCGTTTCTCCCTATTGGCCATAAGAAAGATGAAAAATAAGCCCTGCTTGGCAGGTCCACACCGTGTGGTCAGTAAATTGTGCTCCAGGTGGAGGGGTTAAAGCTCTGGTTTGTGTGTGTGTGTGTGTGTGTGTGTGTCTGTCACACATAAAAACAGGCAGAGATTTGACTGGGCTGTCACAGCTGCCCTCTTGACTTGCTTTGCCATACTGTGGGGAATAAAAATTCAACTCCAAGGGTGCCGGAAACAAAACAAGTTTTATTGAAGCATTTGCAAAGGCTCTTGGGCCCTTCTCCCTGCAAGGAAAGGGCCACACTTGAATCACTTCCGGATAAACTTTTATACCCTGTCCCAGAGAATACGCCACAGCCTTCTGTTCCAGACCCAGTTGATAGGTCCATTCTGGTCACATGCTTTCCGACCGCCTAGCAACCAGACCTCCAATTATTAGATCAACAGCCCCTTTTGTTTCTGTCTTATCTCTCCTTCCTTATCTGTGGCATGATTTGTAACATCTTGCTAACTCAGGGTGTAGCTTATCTACAAGGTGAGCCTGTCTACCTAAACTGGATAATTGCAATTACAAAGGATTTATATCTTGCCTTCTTTATCTATAAGAATGCCTGCTTTTCATCTAGAAGCTATGTATGTAACAGTTCATGCTTCCGTTAAACATGGCTACACTTTGGTTCATAGTTATACTTTAAAATGCTTAGGCAGTTTTTATAAAGAATAAACCTTATATAAATTGAATAATATGTCATTCATAAACTATATGCCATTCTACAATAATGTGCACTATTCTAAAAGTATGCTTTGAGTCAGTGTATATAGTCCTTCTCTGTTCCTCCAGCTTACTACATCTTCTTTCCTAAAAGTACCTTAGCTAAGTGCCTCTACATGTCTATTCCTTAAGCAGAAACGGAAAATTACAACATGTACATTTATTGTGTATCTCACAATATTCTTGGCATCCCTGCCTAAGAAGCGCCCCTGCTAAATCAAGGGGTGGTGGCGGAACCGTTTGCACCACTGCCCCTCTCATGATGGCCCCTGGGCTTGCAGCCCAAAGGTTCCCCAACCCTGAATTCCAAGGAAGCCCATCCTTTTACGAATCTGGGATCAGCTGATCTTCCTGTTGCTTGAGGAGACGCCCCATAACTTCTCTGCTTTGCACGGGGCCATCTGGCTGTGCTCATCTGTACCCACCTCTGCTTTTTCCCCACAGAACCGCCTCTCTCGCTGCACAATGCACTGCAATGACAAAGCAAAGGATGCCTTGGACTCTGGGAGCAAAGAATCGCAGGTGAAGCTGCAGCTGGAGAACTGCGTGATGAAGTGCGTGGATGACCATGTTCATCTCATCCCCAGCATGACAAAGAAGATGAAGGAGACCTTGACCGGCATCGCTCAGTAGCCCTGCCCTTGTGCACAAACCCAGGTCCACCTAGGAAGGGTGCGGTAAACTTGATGAAACTAGGAAACAAAAGTGGGAATAAGTTGGGTGCTTTCTTGGGGTAGGGCGGCCCAAGAAGCACCCTGTCCTGTGGAAGAAAGGCTGCCAGTTGTCAGAATGGGAAACGGGTGGTTGGGTTTTCCCTCGCTTATGGATACATTCACAGGCCCAGGGAATTTCCCTGCCTTGCTTTGGCCAGCTCTCCCTACTCCTGGGGTGATAATGGGGAGGGAGGGATGAGAGGGTGCTTCATTAGTCACTCTGAGGTTTGTTCGCCTGTTGTCTTAGCAGGGCAGATTAACTTAGGCCAGTTAAAATTAATACCTCTGGTGCTCTATAAAGACACAGAATGGCTATTTCTACAATCCTGCTTAAAGAGATGGTTTGTTCTGGGCTTTGCGATGTAACTGAGTGACAAGACACAATACTAAACCTTTTGAATTCTCCAAAGCTGCTGAGAGCTTCTATTTGTGCTTTCATCCAAATCAGGCAGGTTTTTTTTTGTTCAGACAGCAGATATGGATGTGTGTGCCTTAATCGTCCTGAGTAGGGGAAAATGCACTCGTGGGTGTATCCACATCTGGGCCAGATCTAAGCAGAAGTCTTGCCACTGGCACTGATATGACGAGGGATTCAAACAGGAAAGGAGCCATCGGAACCTGGAAAGCTGTGCTGCTTCAGTTTGCTGAGTGAGTCAGAAATGAACATTTTAAGGGGTTTTAAAAATGCAACATCAAAATGTGAACTTTCTATCAAAATATGTGAGGTCTTTATAGTCACTCCCCAAACAAATGTTTATTAAATTCTTAAAATCTTGTATATTTGCATTATTTGCATTTGGTCTGTGTTTTGAGTTCATTTCGATATGGAGAATTTCTGTATTTGGCCGAGTAACCTTGTTGGCTACTCCCAGGGCATTGTTCTGTTAGGGTTTTTTACTTGGAAAAGTGAGCTGGAAAGAATGGTTCCTCCTCTTCATTGCTGGCTTCGAGGGCAGAATAAATAGGAGCAGTGCATATCTGAGGTCTTAGAACGCTTCCGTGCGGCCCTATCCAGGCTCTGGAGGCCTTTTCCAGGCTGCTGCCACCCGGATCTGAGGCAGGGAACACTTCTGTGCATCCCGCACGGCCCGATCCGGGCTCCAGAAGCCTTTTCCAGGCTGCTGCTGCCTGGAAACTGGCCGCCAAAGGGCTACATAAGTGTCCCCCGGCCTCAGATCCAGGTAGTAGCAGCCTGGAAAAGGCCTCTGGAGCTCCCATCCAGCCGCCAGAGACACACAGAAGCTTCGGTTCCATTCTCTGTTGCAGAGAACAGAGGCCTAAAGTACCATGAGATCACGCAAGATCGGTCGCGTGAGATCTTGCCCCACTGATCTCGCGTGATCTTGTGTTACTTTAGGCCTCCATTCTCTGCGAACAAACCGAAGGCCTGGAGCAGCCAAGAAAGCAAAGGATCTCGATCTTCGCAGGGTGAGTATTGAAGGCCTAGTGCCGAGAGAGACCCGGGCGGGGGTGGGCAGGGAATAAGCAGGGTGAATGTTGCAGAGCCACTGCGGTTGCTCGGAAGGGCGAACGACTGCCGTGGTGCTGCAATTTTCGTAACTTCGGGACTTGCTCATAAGCACTAGGGGGCTCCCAAGACTGAATTTCTGGTGACTTCCAGGTCATACCCTTGCAGCTATTTCCTTGGCAATAGGACAGAAGTGGCTTGCTATGGCTACCAGGATAGTTTTCAACTAGGGATCTGTAGTAATCTCCATTCAGGTACTAGCCTGGTCTGATCTTTCTGAGGATCAGCCAGGGTTGCCTAGATGTTCCACCTATTTTAGCGGATCACAGGCTAGTGCAGAAGAAACTTTGTCAATTATTGAATAGGGCTGAGATATTTTTTTTTGTTAAAGTACTAATTGTTTACTATGGTATTGGAAGTAGCCAAGGCTAACCTAAAGAAGAGAAGAGCTGTATGCCTGTTTATATAGTTAGGCTAATTACAACAGGCTTAATACAGCAAATAATTGAATGAATATAGAATAGAATAGAGTAGAATATCTTTATTGTCATTGTGTAACTCACAACAAAATTAAATGCTGTCCACAGTGCACACTACACACCAAGTAAAAACCACAAATAAGAACATACATTATATACACACATCCTTCACATATTATTCACCATTGTGCTGCCCCTAATATTGCACTTCAGTGTTGCACTATACTGTGGTATTTAATATGGTTACAGCTCTGGGATTAAAAACTATTTTTCAGCTTGTTTGTCTTTGTTTTTATTATCCTGTACTGTCTGCCAGATTGTAATAGTTCAAAAAAAGAATGTCTGGGATGAGACGAGTCTTTAAGAATATTTTGAGCTTTTCTAAAACAATGTGAACGGTACAGTTTGTGGGGGGGGGGAGGAGAGGGCAGCTAATAATCCTCTGGGCGATGGTAATGGACCCTCTGGAGCGCTTTCCTATCTGCTACTGTGCAGTTGGCAAACCGCACACAAATGCAGTAGGTTAGAATGCTCTCTATGGAGCAATGGTAGAAGGTCACCTGCAATTTTTCATTCAGTTGCTGTTTCCTGAGAAGTCTCAAGAAATTTAATCTCTGCTGGGCCTTCTTAGCCACTGCCATAACATGAGCACTCCAGGTCAGGTCCTCCTTTATGGTAATACCCAGAAACCTAAAGCTGCCCCCCGCCCCCGCTCCACACGGTCACCGCTGACGATCAGGGGCCGAATGTCTGATCTATTCCTCCTGTAATCTACTATAAGCTCCTCGGTCTTAGTTGTGTTGAGAATCAAATTATTGTCTCTGCCCCACAAGAGCAACCGCCCCACCTCATCCCTCTAGGCAGGCTCATCTCATCCCCCTTGGAGATAAGATCTGCAAATTTAACAATAATGTTGCTGGGATGAGTGGGGGGTGCAGTCATAAGTGTATAGCATAATCTGATTGTTGAAGTCCACGAGTCATAAAAAAGCCAAGGTTGCCCACCCCTGGTTCAGGCTGAGTGAAGCCAGCCCACGTTTGTTCTTTCCTGATGGGAGAGCAGCCCTGTTGTGCTTTCCCATTCAGCGCATCCTGAATTCTGGGCTGGAGGTCACGTGACGGCATTTGTTTCTCAGGAATGAGCAGATTCTCCAGCGTGTAAGTGGTGGTGCTTTCTGGCCCTTCCAAGAGGAGGAAGAGGCTGCTTTGTGGGAGTCCCGGGTGAGCTGCCTCTGCCCGCCTTTCCCCCAAAGGGAGCCCAGCTGACTTCCGGAAGGAGCCCGGCGTGCCTCGTTCCGGGGCCTGGTGGGGATGGCGAGAGTCCAAAAGGCTCGGGCCGTTGGTTCCCGCCACGCGCGTTGCGACCGATCCCGCTCGCTGGCCCGGGAGCAGCGGCCCTTCCGCCCACGGGGAGCCCAGCGAGGCATCCGCGAAAGCTAAGCGCCCCAGACCGGCAGCCGCCTCGTGGCCGAGCGCGACTCAAAAAGAGGGCGTTCCCAGGGCGTCGGGGATTGGTCGCTAGGATTGGCCCCGCCCTCCGGGAACGCTTGGGCGCGCTCGAGGTTCGTTGGCTTGGACGTCCTTTGCGCCTGCGCCTGAGGCGCCTGGTGATTGGGCAGAGAAGTGAGCGCCGTGGGGACGTCAGACCGCAGCAGAGACGAGCGACAGACGCTTCGCGAGGCGGTCGGCTTGGAAAAGGAAGGATGAGCAAAGCGCACCCGCCGGAGCTGAAGAAGTGAGTGCGCGCCGGGGAGTAGCGTCGCGGCGCTCCGCTCGGAGGTACCGCGGGGCGGGGGCGCGGCAGCCAGAGAAGCGAGCGGGAGGCCCCAGCGGGCGGCGGGAGCCCACCCTAAGGCCCATCATGCACTGCGCGGCGTGTGGCCATAGAGCTGCTTTTCCAGAGGTGCCTTTCTCGGCCCACGTGGCCGTTCCTTCCGGGCCGCCAGCAGCCAAGCCCCCCCCCTTCAGTCCCCCGAGCGCTCTCCCCCAGAGGGAAGGGGCCGGGCAGAAAGTCTTTGCGAGGCCCTCCCTCCCGCAGCGGCCCATCTTCGGGTCTTTTGCTATTATTCTGCCTTAGTTGTGTGTCCCTCTTCGCATTCTTAATACTTGTCTTTGAGCCACCTCTCTCTCTCTCTCTCTCTCGTATGGGACCGTGGGCAGCTTGATTGATTATGTGCCACCAAGTAGTTTTTGAATCCTCGGGACCCCAGATGTTGAGAGTCTGGAAAAAATTCTTTATTATAGACTTGACTTGCATGAGGCTTATTTCCTGTTTTGAATTTTCAGGTTTATGGACAAGAAGCTATCATGTAAGTGAACTGATTGTTTTGAAGATTGTTTTGCAAGGAAAAACTATACAATTTATTTCTTGTCTGGTTACCTTGTGTAAATAACGTTCCTAAGATGTATTGACTTCCCCTTATTTTCTTCATCTGTTTCAGTACTTTTTCATTTATTGGTTTTTTATGCTCTAAATCAGGGGTAGTCAACCGGAATTCTGGGAGTTGAAGTCCACGAGTCATAAAAGAGCCAAGGTTGACTACCCCTGCTCTAAATGTTTCATTAATTTTGAACTGATTTTCATAATTCATTGTTTAGTCTCCCTATATCTATTTCCCTGTATCCGTGTCAATTCTGGTCACCACAGTACAAAAGTGCAGAGAAGAGCAACAAAGATGATAAAGGGTCTGGAAGCTAAATCATATGATGAACAGTTGAGGGATCCTATCAAAGAGGAGAACATAACTGTCTTCCAGTATTCACAGAGAAGACGGGATCGACTTCTTCTCCAAAGCCCCAGAAAGGACAAGAAGCAGTGGGTGGAAGCTTGCTAAAGAGAGATCCAATCTAGCAGGAAAGAATTTTTCTGACAGGGAGAACAATTAATCATAGCAAAATATATTGAGGACCACTTAACTTGCTATCTGTTCTTTGCAGTAAAACTAAATGGAGGTCGGCATGTTCAAGGAATATTAAGAGGTTTTGATCCATTCATGAATTTGGTGATAGATGAGTGTGTGGAAATGGCACCTGGTGGACAACAGAACAACATAGGGATGGTGGTAAGCAAAAATAAATTAAGTTAAAATTAAATTAAGTTAAATTAAGAGTTGTTGACGCCATTTTACCAGGAAAGGGAATGTTAAGCTGTTACATTCATGGTACAGCATAGTTTATCTTCCATGTTCAAGAACCATATAAATAAAGTTGCAGTATAAATCAACTTGTGTTGATTCTAGTAGTAAAGGAAGCACTTATCATTTTCATTTGTGATTTAGGTAAAAAGTTTCAAATTCTTCTTTTGATACTAAGAACCCTGTAGTACCTTTGTCAGTAGTCTTAGATTGGGGACACCAGAAGCATTCATCAAATACTATCCTAGTGAAGTAAAAATATTCCTATGAAAAACTAAGTAATCTGCCATGGATCTTTCTGGATTAGTTGTAGAACAATCCTCCATATTAGCTGTCTTTAGCCATCTTGAAACTAGTTTAATTTTTTTCCCTTCGAATTCATTCTTAGGTATGCTAGTGATATTTGTTCTGATTTCTAGGTAATACGAGGAAACAGCATCATTATGCTAGAAGCCCTGGAACGAGTATAAAAAATGAAGTACTGGCTCTTGCTACAGTGTGGGCAATTTTTATTATTGTTGGCTCTACAGGATCATTCCATGTTTACATTTTTTAAAAAATAAATTCTTAAAAGTATAAATTTTTTTTATTTTCTCCTCTCTCAAGTTATATTTTTCAATAAGTTTGGTCTAGTGGTGAAGGCACCAGGCCAGAAACCAGGGGACTGAGTTCCAGTCCTGTCTTAGGCCCGAAAGCGGCTGGGGGGACTTTGGGGCAGTCCCTCTGCCCACAGCAAGGGGCTCAGGCAACAAGCCAGTCGATTCCCATCACAACCAAATGGCTCAACACTTGGTGAATCTACTACTTATCTCTGGAGTTTGTCAAAAGCAATCCTGTCCAATTTCCTTCTCCTTAAAAAAAGAGAAGGGGCTTATTCGGAACGGATGCCTCAGTTTCAATGTGCTGTAAATGCAGCCAGATCAGCTGAATTCTCCTCTTGCAAGTCCTCATTTGCATAACTATACTACTAAAAGCTTATAAAATACGGATTTTATAACTTCAGTTATTTGAACAGCCCAATTCAGAGATTCAAATTGGGCACATCCATTCTCTCTCATTCCCCAAACTAATGGCTTCCAGAATGGTAAAAATGTCTTCTAATCAAAACTAATGAGCTGTTGGAGTCGCTGTCTGCCAGGCTAAGTACATGAAGTCTCTTGGCAACTTTATCCAGTGGCTTTAGGAAACTGCTACGTAAAATACCTGAGTTGTCAGCCAACAACTTATAGCAAGTAATGTGATTTGCAAAAGAAATCCAGAAGATACAGTAGTTTTTAAAAGGCTATTGCCAAGAATTCCCTTTAAGCCTGTTTTCTTGGAGTAGCAAAGTAGGTTCAACAGTGATGGTTGCAAACTGTTTCAAGCTTGAAACATATTTTCAAAAGCTTTCTTATCTCACTAAAAATATTTTGGCCCTTGTAGGAATGTTCTGAGCTTAAAATGGCTCTAGTTACTGCCAAGGGAAGACATCTGAAGCATAACATTTTGGGCTTCAAATGGAGCATTTCAAAGTCCAGACATTTTGCGCACTCATACCCAACACCCAAGATACGTTGCAAGTTTCCCACACCCTTTGAGGCCTCCCCCCAATCCTTGGGATGCCAAATCAAAGCTCTGTCTTGAGTCTCTCGTGCAAGTCCTCTTGATCAATCATATTCATCTTATTGTACCAGTGATGGTGAGCCAAGAGGGCCGCATTTTTGGCAGAGATGGCGCTCATCTCCATGGCGCTGGCTGCCCATTCTATGGCGTTGACGTAATACATGTGGTCGTGGAGAATGAAAGGTGGGCACTTCTCGGGGGGGCTGTAGTGTGGGTAGGCCAGCCATTTCCGTACTTCCACCAAATCATAGGATGAGAAAAGCAGCTTCAGTTGCTCGTTGGTCAGCAGCTGACGGGAGAACACTTTCCAGACAGGAGGGCTCAGGTTGCCTTGACCTGGAGAAACCACACCAAGGCTGTTGATGAACAGATGAGGGTCTTCCATCGTGAAAATGGTCTTCAGGTGGAACGGAGAAGGATCCTGGTAGCCAAAAAAAGAAGCATTGATGTGCCCACGGACAAATGTTGCCACCGTCTGGTGGTAGGGAGCAGAGAACTCGGGGATCTGTGGGTTGAAGTTGCGGAAAGTTATGTTGGCGATTTTGCGTTGCAAGGGAGTAGCGATGAGTAGGATGTCGTAGGCATCTGATGTTACTCCAGATGTAGAGTTGTAGGTAACCTCATACTGCTTTGTCAGACCACCTTTGAAACAACCAAGAGAAATTAATGCAGCAGTTTTGACGTTACTATAATTTTTACTGCCTGAGATAGAGATGTTTGGGGTATTTTCCAAATGTGAAAGAGAGTGCTGGCAAGTTAACTTTTTTCAGAGAACAGCAGAATGCCAGGGCTGCACAATTCCCAAGCTACTCTTTTTCCCTTTCCTGCCATATTCAGGCATACCTTGTGATAACTTTCTCCATGTTGTGACCACCATCAGTATAATTGGTCCCAGGGCTCAATTCACTCTGAAGCAGTGACCTAATCCGCAACCCGCCCGTCAAGTTTCATCATCTCCAAAATGGCAGATGTGGACACCAAAGGGGGGGTTTGCTGTTCAGCTACCTGGTCTCTGATGAAAATCCTTCCCAACAATCCAGGGTAGTTTGAAAGGAAGGAGTGGAATTCCCATGTTGTGTTTGGGGGACGGCAACACACACCCCAGGCTGCTCTGTCTCAATCATCACAGAGCTTCTTCTTCAACACCTCTCTTCTGATCTGGAGCTGCTGCTTCTCAATTTTGGTTCTAGGAAGCTTTCCACAACCACCCTGCTCGTGGGGTCTCTGCTGAGGTCCCACCCAACTTAGCTAGATTTAAAATGCCCTAATTTAAAAAAATGGGGGGCTTGCCTGCAGCAAAGCCCCAACTTCCAGTACCATCTCTTTTCCCAATAATGACACTGGACTCCCAATAGCCATGGGGGAATTGTACCTTGATGCCTACCTACAAAGCAGAAAGGTATGTAAGGCTATTTGAGAACATGGAAGGGAACAGATCGGCAGCTACAAGGAATTGGGGAAGTGGCGGACCCAAACCTCTGGAGGGCGACAGATTGCCCACTTCTTTTTCAATCTTACACAGCTTTCATGCTTGATAAACTTATCTCATATTTTGCAAATGTGAAATAAATAAATATTAGGCAACCACACCTGAACGACCCTTCAGCCTTGTTTTTTCTTCTATGGAAATAACAGGACCAGAAATCAGCTGGGCTTTGGAAGCATACAGAAGGCCTGTACACACCAATTTATTACCACCCTCTACCGACCAAAGTCCTCCACTTGCTCCAGCCAAAGATACAGCTCCTGCAAAGAAACAACGTCCAAGAAAAAATGGTCAGACACACCTAAACAAGACAGTAGCTGAGGCTAAAGTGATTCAGTGACAGAGTCAGAAATAAAACTAAGCCAAAACTTTAAAAACTGCTTTACAAAATATGTGAACCCAGCCACTGGACACTTGTGTTTATGACTTACTCTTATGAACAAATCAAACAGCTATGGCTTACTGAGTAATGTGCAAAACCAACTATCCTATAATGTAACAAGGGAAGTAACTGTTATGCTCCATTTTCAACTGGCTGTCATTTGCTACCTTTCAAAGAAGTATGCAAAGTCCTGTCTGTTTGGGGGAGAATTTGCTTCCACCATTCATTTTTTGACACAGGGACTTCCAGAAATGAAAGTTCCCCAAATGTATGCCTGAAGGTCTTGGTACATTTTTCTTCCTTCTGTTCAATCGTGCCTGATTCTCAGAGAGTGTCTGGACAGGTCTTGCCGGTTTTCTTGGCCAGGTTTTTCAGAAGTGGTTTGCCACTGCCTCCTGCCCAGGGCTGAGAGAGAGTGTGACTTCAACAACAAAGGAACTGTTGGCTGGGATATTTGAGGTGTTGTAGTCTCAATCCTATTAGCAAAAATGGACCAATAACAACACAAATGTCACCCCAGAGATGACACAAATTACAAAATCTATGTAATTTACAAGATGCCCCGGGTCATGTTACAGTGGTAAAAATCTCCAGCCCAAAATATTCCAGAAAACCTAGCTTCTGGGTGGCTAGTGCACTTTGTGTTAGCAAGAAAAGAAAAAGACAATACATTCAGTGCTGGCAAAATATAACAGAGCTTGCAGAGTTTCAAGACTAAAATGGAAGGCTGAGTCCACCTTGAGCTAAACCAAGTTAAATCTGTATATCCAAGTCCTCAAGATAGAACAAAACTAAAAAATACCCTCTCTTCTTTGCAGCTTTCTCTATCCTCAAGTCATTTATAGGTGGATTCCTTGAAGCAAGTTGTGCAAGAAGCACAAGTGGCTGTCCAGGGTTGCAACACTAAATTTGCCACTTCGGAATAAACAAGCACCACTTACCTACGAAGCCGTTAATGCTGGCACTTTGCCCATAGTTGACTCGCATGATAGGAGTTACCATCTCGTTGATGAATGCCTGAGAAAATCTGGCCTTTTGTAGGGACTCATCGATGGTCTGGTTCAGCATGCGAAGAAAACTGGCCCCTCCGAGGGCCTGGAGCAAGTGCTCAGGGCTGCTGAAGGCATAGTCGCGGGACTGGTACCGATAGACCCTGGACCGAAAAAGGAAGGGGGGAAGCAAACAGGCTAAAGATCTTACATCGGTGCAAAATAGATCAAGCAGTGGGGCAACATAAGCTTTTAATAATATCTGAACTATTTTGAGTTGATCACCTCTCTTATTAAGGCCCTTCTCCCCGATTGCTGTTTGACCGGGTGACCAGCTCTTAAAAGAGTCCTGGTTGTGCCAAATGTCTTTCATTTGAGAATTATGGAGGCCACTGTGCTCTTAGGAACCTTCAGAGCAGCAGAAATTTTATTGTAGCCTTCCCCAGATCTGTGCCTTGTAATAATCCTGTCTCTGAGCTCTGCAGGCGAAGTGCCTGCAGAGCTCAGAGACAGAATTTGACCTCATGGCTTTTTCTCTGCTACAGTATGCATTGTCAGCTATGAGGCCTTCTATAGGTGTGTGCTTTTCCGAATCATGTCCAATCAATTTAATTTACTACAAGTGGACTCCAAGGTGTAGGAACGTGTCAGCAATGATCAAGAGAAATGGGATGCCCCACAGCTAAATTTCACATGTAGTTGCAAAGGGTCTGAATACTTATGCCAATTTCAGTTTTTTCTTTTTAATTTATAGACATTTCTAAAATTCTGTTTTCACTTTGTCATTATGGGGTACTGAGTGTAGATTGAGGAAAAAGTGAATTTCAACAACTGTAGAATCAGGTTGCAGCAAAACGAAATTGTCAAAAGGGGGCCTGAATACTTTCTGAGTGCACTATAGCTTGTTAACCCTGCCGAGTGAGCATAATAGTTTTCTCTCCCTCACTTCTGAAGGTGAAAAAATCCCTAGATGGAATCTCTTCTTATTACATGTTTTAATGCAGTATTTTTCAACCACAGCAATTTTTAAGATGCCTAGGTTTCAACTCTCAACATGCTGGATGGGGAATTCTGGATGTCGAAATCTTAAAGTTGCTGGAGTTGAGAAATACTGTTTCAGGAAGTGGTAACTGGCATTTATCTAATTGCTGGGTGCCATCCAAACTGGTTTTCTTTGTAGGTCATCTCCTGTTTCATCTGCTGTTGGTCTTTCACTTAACTGCAGAGCTGATTTTGTATCTACCTCTTTTACTGAACATTCAGGGTGTTACTCTGTGCTCATGTGTTTGCTACTAGAATCTGCTACGAGCAACGACAGGCTGTGTTTGAGATTTCAAAAGGTAAAGAAGCCCCTGAGTTGAGTTCAGCTCTTGGGGGATTCATGGCCCCAAAACTAGGAAGGGGGTGGCCAACTTCCTCTTTGGGATATTCTTTGACTCTCCACTCTAGCCTGTAGTCCAAGTACGAACCAGCTTTGACTGTACTTACTCTTCAGATCTAGATAAATTCATGAAGCTTTGACTGATTGATTTAAACCAAGCCATCCAGTGGTCCTCTTCACAATTATAATATGATAAAGCAACACAGCGACTTTGGAGCCAAGCAATTTCCTGATTTTTTTTCTTTCCCTGGCAGACTGAGGCCTTGCTTCCCAAAAATAAAAGGGCCCAGGGGAAAAGCAAAATGCATTTCTTTTGAACACAATGAGCATTAAATCAATTAAACCTGGTAATATGATCACCCTCACCCATCATGCCCACTGAGAAGAAAAACCTTTGGTGCAGAGGCTGTGCCAGAGCGGCCAGGACGCCCCTGTCACCCTGCAGTCGTCTGCTTTGTGCCGCTCCTTACCTCATAAACTTTTCCAGGACTTCCTCCACCCACATGTAGCTTCGCAGGGGGTTCAGTCCATAACGCCAGAAGAGCTTCAGAAGAGTCCAGACATACCAGCTGCTCTCCTCAAAGACAAATTCCTCCCCATTGTAAATGCCCAGGAGTCCATCTTGACTCTGAGGAACAGAAAGCCCTGCGGATTTAAAGACAGAGCCGGCAACTTGAGTACAATGTACAATTTATTTATTTATTTATTTATATTTGGATTTATATCCCGCCCTTCTCCTCGCGGACTCAGGGCGGCTGACAATCAGTTAAAATACATAAATAACAATACAAATTTAAAATTAATTAAAAGAAATATTTAAACATTTGTCCAATTAAAATGTAATTAAAACCCCTCTAAAAATTACCCTAGGCCAGTCCTGCAAGCTGGAATAACCAAGTCTTAAGGGCGCGGCGGAAGGAAGGGAGATCAGGGATGACCCTGATCTCTGGGGGCAGTTCATTCCAGAGGGTGGGAGCTCCTACAGAGAAGGCCCTCCCCCTTGGGGTCGCCAGCCGGCACTGTCTGGCCGACAGCACCGAGGAGACCCACTCTGTGGGAGCGTACAGGTCGATGGGAGGTAGTCTGCGGCAGGAGGCGGTCTCGAAGGTATCCGGGTCCGATGCCATGGAGCGCTTTAAAGATGATAGTCAACACCTTGAAGCGCACCCGGAAGGCCACAGGCAGCCAATGCAGCTCGCGCAGCAGCGGTGTCACGTGGGAACGTCGAGTCCCGCCCAACACCGCCCACGCGGCCGCATTTTGGACCAGCTGGAGCCTCCGGGTGCTCCTCAAGGGGAGCCCCATGTAGAGAGCATTACAGTAGTCCAGGCGGGAGGTGACAAGGGCATGAGTGACCGTGTGTAGGGCGTCCCGGTCCAGAAAAGGCCGCAACTGGTGAATCAGGCGAACCTGATAAAACGCCCCCCTGGTCACGGCCGACAACTGGTCTTCCAGCGTCAGCCGCGAATCCAGGAGGACACCCAAGTTGCGCACCCTCTCCGAGGGGGCCAGAGTTTCGCCCCCTATAGTCAGCGATGGAATCAGCTGACTATGCCGAGGCGCCGGTAACCACAGCCACTCGGTCTTGGAAGGGTTGAGCCTGAGTCTGTTCCTCCCCATCCAGACCCTCACGGCCTCCAGACACCGGGTCATCACGTCAAGGGCATCGTTGGGGTGGCCCGGAGTGGATATGTACAATGTAAGCAATGGGAAAAAGATCTATCTAAATTTGCATGGAAAAGAAAAAACATGTTAACTGCAAAATGTTACAAGATGCAAAGGGGAGGGGAGGACTGGATTTACTGAATTTGAAGTGTATTTTGCATCTTGTTTGGTATGGATGAAAGAATGCAAGTTGCTGAGAAATCAAAGAGTTTTAGAAGTGCATCATTCCAGTTTGAGTGTCATGGATATTTCGGGTATGATAATTGAAGTTAATATGGATTTTAAAAATCACTTTATTAGTTGTTCCATATTAGGAATATGGAATCGGTGTAAATCCAGGCTTTATGGATCTCAGCACAAAAACACCTTTATGGATCTCAGCACAAGCACTTTACAGAAAAGAAACAGGCAAAGACAAATGATAAACATGCCTGGAATTATTAGAGAATCACCAGAGGGGATATAAAATTAAATCAAGAGACCAATTAAGGGCAGAAAATACGGCTGTCAAAAAGAGCCTGTTCTGAGCCTGCATCACCCCACACAGCCCCCTTCCAAGCCCCAGTCCGAAGGGCGGAGAAAGAGCCCCCCACGGGCACCCCAAATGCACCCGTTCTTCCCACAAGAGGAATTCCTTCTCGGGCCCGGAGGAAAGAGAAAAGCGGGGGGGGGGAGGCCTCACCCAGTTCTTTGACGAACTGCTTCATGTGCAGGTTGAGCGGGTGCAGGACGGCGCCGCCCGCCTCGTAGTCCCGGCCTTCCAGCCGGACGGTGGCCAGGCGGCCCCCCACCTCTCCCCTCTCGAAGACGTCGATCCGCACCTCGGGGCCGAACTTCTGGCGCAGGAAATACGCCGCCGAGGTGCCCCCGATGCCGGCCCCGATCACCCCTGCAAGAGGCAGCCGCGTGGCTTCTTCTGCCAAAGGGGAGCCGGAGCCCTGCCCGCCCCCGCGGACCCCCACCCACCGCCTGCCGGACGCCTCGTGCCCCCCGCCCGTCCCGCCGCCCCCGGCTCAGCAGCAGCACGAGCGCCCCCCGCCCNCCCCCCCCCCCACGCCAGGTAGGGCGGGCCGAGGGAGGCGGGCTACCCGAGTCCCAGAGCCGCTCGGCCCGGCCCGTCAGGCGGCGCCCGGCAGCCCTCCTCCCGGCGCCAGGTCGCGGGGAAAGCGAGGCCGCCCCCCGAGCGAGGCCTTCGAGATCCGCCCCTGCGGGCCCGGCTACCGATGCGGGCGGGCGGGCGGCGCAGCTCCGGCGTCCCCGAAGCGTCCCCGCAGCAGAAGAGCAGCAGCGGCGGCAGCAGCAGCAACGGCGGCGACACGCGCGGAGCCATGGCCGAACGAAGGAGGGAGGGCCCCGGGCCCGTCTCTCTGGAACGGCAGAGGCCCCGCCCCAAATGGGCGCCCTCGGTCCGATGTCCACGGCGTTGCCATGGTGATGGATGCTTCTTCCCATCCTCGTGGAATGTCTTTTAAACATTTCCTTGGGTTGGAAAGAATACCGTGAAACTGATTAGCCAAACACTTTGTTATTTAGAATATTCACTGTACAACCAAAGGCTGAATTTGTTCAGAACGTTATTTTATTTACAATTTTTTGTATGCTAGCTACTCAAGTGACTCTATAAGGTCTCCTGCTTGAGAGGGGGTTGGACTAGAAGACCTCCAGGGTCCTTTCCAACTTTTGTCAGTCTGTTATTTTGGCATTCATTCCAAGACTCTGTTGAAGGAAAAGTCTTCATCAGGGTTCAATCCAAGCCGGGAATAAACAACATGGCGACTGCTTTAGAAAGAAGGTTGCAGTTTATTGAAGAGGAGAACCAGACAGAAAGATGACTCTGGAAGAAAAGAGAGAGAGCACATGTAGGGAGTGGGTTTTTATACCCTCTGGGGCTCTTGAGGTTGTTTCCTGTTCCTATTTGAGGCTTTGTATTTCCTGTGTCATGTACTTTGACCTGAGTCTGAGTGTGCCCCTTTGGCATCTGTGGGCTAATCCTATTATGTCCTGTCTTAGAGTTTGGGTGGGGTGTGTAGATTTTAGGAGTCTTTGTCTTCCTAAGCTTCTAGCTGGAGGGCTCCAACCTTCCTGAATGGATTATTTACATCTGCATTTCTACAGAGCTGATTTCTGCTTGGGAAAGGGAGACTTGGGGCTATTAAGAAAAACTGAGCATGCTTTTCTGCCTCTTTTAAGTTTCTTTGAGGAAATATAATATTCTGCCTTTAATATTTCCTTCTCTGGGGCGGGGGGGGGGGCTGACTTCCCACAACTCTGAACCAAAATCTGCTCTGTGCAATATACCTCAGAAGGGTTTTAAATATGAGTCTACCTTGCAAAGTTGTTGCAAGATTAAAATAGATTTGGGGGGTTGAAGGTCACTAAAGCATTATGAGTAAGTGTAAGCCATGTTAAAGAGGCCTGTGTAGAAAAAAAGGCTGAGGAAGATAGTCTGATTAAAATTAATAGGTACTCCAAATTACACATTCCTAAAAGGGCTTGCAATTTTATAGGTCAATTTGGTGCATGTATTTTTGAAAGTATTTTCTGTTCAATTTAACACATTCAGTTCACATTTTTTCCATCTTTCGATTATTGCTTTCATTTTTGGAAGGACCCACTTGGATAATACTATTTCTGACGGCTTGTGTTGTTTTTATAGGCAGGCTGATCTTTTGCCTTTGCTTTCTAGACGATTCTTTCCCACAAAATCTGCAGTAGCGCCGCTGGTGTAGTGGTATCATGCAAGATTCCCATTCTTGCGACCCGGGTTCGATTCCCGGGCGGCGCAGTCCTTTTTTTGCATCCCTTAAAAAAGCGCCCATCACCAAATTTGCCTACTTCCTCTACCTAAACGCTGACTTGATTCTAATTTTTCTTTTTTTAGAAACGAAACAGCTGGAACGCTCTATAAAACACCAGTACTGCGCAGGCGTTCTGGAGAGGTCTCGCGAGACTCGCCGCCGAAAGGACGGTCTCCAAGGGAGGCAGGATTGGGTGAGCCCCCGAGGAGGTGGCGCTTCCTCGCGCGAGTGCGCTGGCGGGAGACGTGGCGCATGCGCAGAAGCGCCTTTCCGTCGGCCGGCCGGGCCTCTCTGCCCAGCAGCGCCATCTTGAGAGGACGGGCGGCGGGTTCGTTGTCCGTCGGGCCTACTGAGGGCCGCCTGCCTGCCTCGCGGACTTGGCCCGCGGGTCGCCCACGCCTGACCGGTGCGGCCGAGGCGCCGCCGCCGCCGCCATGGAAGACGAGATGCCGAAGACGCTGTGAGTCGGCCGGGAGCCCCGCACGCGCAGGGGGAGGGCCCGGCCACGTTGTTTGGGCGCCTTCCCGCCGGCAGGCAGGCGCGAGCTCGCCGGAAAGGCCTCGCCTCCCGTAGCCGGTCGCGGCGTCCCCCAACCGGCGCCTCGTCTCCCCGGGCTTCAGCCGCGGCGGGGGATGCCAGCCGGAAAACCCGGCTTCGGCCGCGGCCTCCCGGCTGGTCCGCCGCCCCGAGGTTCTCCTGCGGGCTCCCCTCTCCCGGCCTCGAGAGCTGCTTTGGGGCGGGGACGCTGCGCTGGGCTTTAAATGAGAGGAACCCCGGCCCACCTGGCAGGGTTGTTGTTGGTGGGAAAGTAGGGTATCCCAGTCGCCTGTAGACGGGCATACGTGTCCACAGAGGGAAAAGGCGGGATAAAGTCATAGCAATATTGGCGGTGATGCGCATTTCGGCAGGGGGACCCTCCTGGTCGGGCTTCGCTAAGGCTTTCCTTCGGGGAAAATTCTGAATTTACAGCTCCGCTTGCAGGTTTCGTTTCTTTTTCCCCTGCGGATTCCCAGCTTTCCCCCCTTGTCTGTCTCCTCTTTCCTGGCCCGACCCTCCCTCGTAACGGTCCTGGCCCAGGACCAGGGGATGTTGGGCCGCCCTCGCGGACGTGGGAATGCCCTCCCCTTCTGCCCTCGCCCAGCTCTTCCTCCAGCTGGGGTTGTGTTGCGTTGTGTTTGAGGCCAAGCAAAAGTCTCGGGGAGCCCAGCGTCCTTTTTGCTAAGGAGCCGCTAAGCAAAAGCCCAGAAAACGCCGCCACCTTTTCTGCCTTCCGTCCCTTCTGGCTGCCTCTTCCTCTGTCGAGCTCTCCCCCCGCCCCAGCGTCGTTCTGCACCGGCCAGCAACGCTCTCCTAGTTGAGGGGATGTTCCGCTGCCCTCGCCCGGGGGCTTCCCACAGATCCCGCGGGCTGTTTTGTTTTCCCAGGGTTGTTAAACTGCAGTACCAAATGCCTTGGTTTAATTTGGTGATTCCTTAGCCTATCCTAGTTCCTAATCTAGGTTTTAAAATGTTTTTTTCTGTTTATCCTTCCTTCTGTTTGGTTGCTTTTTATGCTAATCTGTTACATATTCATATTTTGTTTTAAAGAATAATTTTCAGCATTTTTTTTACAATATTTTGATACGCAGGAAACTTATGATATGTATTTACATGAAGGTGCCATTCAAACTCTCAGACAGAAAGTATATTTCAGTCTTGAACTTTCTCATGTTAACATATTTTTATTGACCATTTGCATTTTAGTTGCTTATGCTTCTAATTAGTTTTCTCAATTACTTTCATTCAAGCCTCACAGTTTCTTAGCCAGGATGGCCAATAATTACATTAGCTGAGGATTATGTGGACTGAAGCTAAGGATATCTGGAATAGCTATGGATTCACAAGGATTGCTGTAGCTAGAAGATGAGGGGATTTAAACACATATTACTACCCTATTAGCACTTTGACATTTTGTTTACTTCAGAAATAACTTACAAATTAAAGTTCTAATGCAGTCGTTTAAAACAAACTACTAAATATAAACTGGCGTTTAATCAATTATTGGGCATAGAGTTTAGAACTAAAAAAAATGGATCAATCTTAAAAGACCTTTCCAGCTTCATAAAGCTTCACACCTATGAGCTTAGTTTTTACATACGATTATTATCCCTTCTTTTGGCATAGCCTCCGTGTTTCTTCGTTACCAGGCAAAGACTTGTTTGAGAAGGAGGTATTAAGAATCCAGCCACAGGGCATTAAATCAGTATTAACTAGGTTTGGGATCATATCTGTAGCCTGTAGAGCAGCTTTTAAAACGGGGTACATTTTGCACTGAGTAGCTTTTCAAACCTCATACTGAATATATTTTGATGGAGTCATCTGCGGCTCACAAACCATGAAAAAGAATAACCAGTTCCCTGTCCTAGAATAGGAGATGCCTTTATTGTACCAGTGAAAGCTTGTAAGAGGAAGTGTACCCCCAAAGTCTCAGTTGTAACCTGGTCCTCTAGGACTGAAGCTGTTCCCAGCAATACCAGTGAATATTTATGTAGAAATGAGCAGCTTCATACTTGGAATAATTTTGTATTTATTAGTTCACAGATAAGTAGTAAATAAGGTGCAGTATTTCTTAAGACTTAGAAAATAAGGCAAACATATTAATGTAGTAAAATTGTGAAACCAAAAATTAAATTCAAGAGGCTATCAAGTACAATTTTTCCATTGTCCTTTACTTGAAAAAAATTTAAAATAGGCAAACAATGGCTTTGATCAAGGAAGGGTTAATACACGGCAACTACAAATATCACAGCAAAATAAATTCAAATTTAAAAAGATAATATCTGAAGGATAAATATAATATGGATACTTTGTGTAAAAATACTACTAATATTAGAAGTCATAGAATAAAATACCTTGGTGGTCTTCTCCAGGTAGTCCTCGACTTACAGACGTTTGTTTAGTGACCTTTCGAAGTTACAGCGGCACTGTGATTTATGGCCGTTTTTCACATGACCGTTGCAGCCTCCCCACGGTCGCGTGATCAGATTTTGGATGCTTTTGCAACTGGTTCATGTTTATGACGGCCGCAGCGTCCAGGGTGTGTATGTGTGTCACGTGATCCCCTTTTGCATCTTCTGACAAGCCAAGTCAATGGGGAAGCCAGACTCACTTGACAGCTGTGTTTTTAACCTAACAACTGCAGTGATTCGCTTAACAGCTGTGGCAAGAAAGGTCGTAAAATGGGGCAAAAATCACTTAACTGTCAGCAACAGAAATTTGGACCACAATTATGGTTGTAAGTCTATTAGTAAATCTACTATCTGTAGCAGGAGACCCTGTGCCATTTCCCACAAGTCGGTGGTTCATTCTCTTGTTTGCACTTATTTGCACAACCTTCGTTGCTGCCGTTGGATTTTAATTTTGCCTTTGCTCAGTGCAGATTTTCAAATCAGAAGTCAGAGAGGTTTTTTTTGTTTCCTTAGCTCAGTCTTCTAAACACCTTAGATATTTTAGTAATTGGTAAGCTGTGGGACAATCCAGTTGCTCCCTCTGCTACCCGTTTGTTACGTAAGACTTACAAGCTTCAATGTGCATTTTTTACAGGTATGTGGGGAACCTGTCGAGAGATGTTACTGAGGCCCTAATTCTCCAGCTGTTCAGTCAGATTGGACCGTGCAAAAATTGCAAAATGATAATGGATGTAAGTTGATACTAGATAAGATTTTTTTATATGAATAGAACTTGGTTATACATCAATCAAAAATATAGAATTGTGTGTATGTGTATTTGTGTTCTCATCTCTACACAGGAGTATTCTTAATTAACGATTAGCACCTGCTTGGAGTTAGATAAGGGTCAATAGAATTCAAGGGAGGTTGGAATTTATTTATTTATTAAGTTTATTGGCTGCCCACCTTACCCTAGGGCAGGGGTAGGCAACCTCGGCTCTTTTATGACTCATGGACTTCAACTCCCAGAATTCCTGAGTCAGCATAGTATAGCTGACTCAGGAATTCTGGGAGTTGAAGTCCATGAGTCATAAAAGAGCCGAGGTTGCCTACCCCTGCCCTAGGGTAACTCTGGGTAGCTTACAGTCACATCTAAGTTAAAACATCAAAAGTTAAAATCAGACATTAAAGAAACATGGGGGAATGTGGGGGGTGGGGGGGATCTGTTATTACTCAATCAACCATTGTGCTTTTCCCCCACTGGGGCCCCAAGCTGACTGGCAAAGCCACATCTTTAGGCCCTTATGAAAAGATAAGAGGATTGGGACCAACCTCCCATCGGGGGTCAAGGTGTTCCAAAGGGCAGGAGTAACAGCAGAGAAGGCTCTCCTCCTGGACTCTGCCAGCCGGAATAATCAAGTGCCTTCTCTGCTGCACGAGTGGCATGGGCCAATCCCAGTGGGGTGAGACGGTCCCTCAATTAACCTGGACCCATTCCACGAAAGGCTTTAAAGATGGTCACCAACATCTTGATTTGCACCCTGAAGAAGACTGGCAACCAATGCAGCTCGTGGAGCAGTGGTGCTATAGGCCCCCCCAAAACTACCCCTCTGCACCAGCGGTAGCTTCCGAATGCTCTTCAAGGGTAGCCCCATGTAAAGCGCATTACAAGAGTCCAGCCGTGAGGTGATTAGGGACTGAATGGCTGAGCGCAGGGAATCCTGGTCCAGGAAAGTTTGCAATTGGCACATAGCACAAAGTTGTGCAAAGGCCCTCCTAGCTGCGACTGATACTGAACCACATTCGGAATAGCAAAACACAATGGGTAGTGTTACTGCTTTTATATTGTAAAGTTTACTTTAATATTAAATATTTAATATTAAAACTCATTCTAAACATTACTTTAAAAAATTCATGAAATCATTTAGAAATGTTGTAATCCTGTTAAAGGAAAAAATAAATGAGGTTACAAAGAAGTACAAAATATAAAAGGAATGTGTGCCTGCTCAAAAATATCCATCAGATTTAGTGATTCAGGTAGAGATGTATAGGATTGCACTTTCAGTTTGGCCGTTAAAAAATAATGCATCAATTTAAGAGGTCTAAAACAATTACTTTTGAATACTTTCTTTGGGGCTAGAATGTCCATATTTTGATGTGGCTAACATCCTTTGTCCAAAACCAAAATCTTCCTAGAGGCCAAGAGTGACTGTTTTGTCCTCTCTGTTTAAGCAGACAGCTGGAAACGATCCGTACTGTTTTGTGGAATTCTATGAGCATCGTCACGCAGCCGCAGCTTTAGCGGCAATGAATGGGCGGAAGATAATGGGTAAGGTAAGCTCTCAGGTCTAAAGGGGACATGGAGCAGACTGTGGCTTTAAATAGATGGATGAAAACATGTTTTAAAAAAGAAGAAAATCTAAAGGTAAACTTTTATCCTGTTTGAGCCTTGTATATTACAGAATTGAAGAACGTTTCACAAATGAAATTTGGGGAAAGTAACTTGGCAAAATAAAGCATAAGTTATAAAAAGGAAAACTATTTAAAATTACTTGCTATTCAACTTCATTTGTAGGAGAATCTTGTTATTTTTGATAAACCGCTTAATACGGCAAAGTCACGTTTTGAATGCTGCAAAACCTCAATGTAACGGATGCCTTTTTAGCAGCCTTTGGATTTTGTGGATGAATTTTTTGCCTGGACTTTTACCAGAAGCAGTGGACAAGTCTGTTGCCACCGAAGTAGATAAATCATCAGTTTAAATTTATGTCAGTTAAATTTATGTTAATTTAATAATAATCGCAGTGACTTATGTCATTTGTATAATGATGGCATAGCCCACATGACAAATTGCCATGAATGATATGATTTGCAATTTTCTTGACATTTAGGAACAATGTCTTTTCCCTTCTCCCTCCCCCTCCCCCCAATCTGTTCATTCAAGGTTTCACTGTCTCATATGTCAAATCATTGACAGGACTGCAGATTATATTAATCTTTGTTCTAACTTTCCTGGATATAATTCTAGTAAATATTATTTCTAGGAGGTCAAAGTGAACTGGGCAACAACCCCCAGCAGCCAGAAGAAAGATACCAGCAGTAAGTCCCTTCCTATCCTGAGTCATTACTCTTTATTTGCACAAAAGTCTTTTTAATGTTAAGCAATAAGCATCATGCAAATATTTGCCCTATTATTTTGATCATTATCCTAAGATATTATTTAATGTGTTTGTGTTAATAAACTTAAGAACAAATCTAATCTTTGTCATCAGGTAGTACCGTTGTCAACACACTGCGTTCACAAGGTAATTGTATCTTCTTAAACATAAAATGAAATCTCTCAGGGGTATCTATTCACTAACCGCCTGAAGCTATTGGGGGGGTGATTATGTTGTCGCAAGCTTTCTGCCTCCTCCTCCTCTCTCAGATGGATCAGGATGTGGACTGTTGCCGACTTGTAAGCCCTGTGACCCCAGTGGGCGTGTCCCCTCTGTGAGGGGAAGCTGCTGCCCGCGCTGCACCCCCACACTTCTTGTGGGGTACCATTTGCTCCTCCAATTGGATCTTCCTTCCCTCCTGTTACTTGGCAACCCGGGGCTGCCTCTCTACTTGCCCGGCCTGAGAGCTCTGAGAATCTGGGGAGGATGTAAAGGGATTCTTGCCAGAGTGGTGCTGTTGCAGCGCCAAGTGTGCCGTGAAACCTGTTAGAGGTGCGGAAAATTGAAGTGGGCTTTGTGTGACTATGAAGAACACCTGTGTTTCGCCAGTTCTTATGTAAATGGATCTAATCTAAATTATGAAGGGATTACTCTTTCCGTTCTGTTGCCTTCAGTCTTAGTTCACTTGCTCATGGATTTCACATACTTTGAATTCACATGGATTCACATGGTGTAAAGGCTGGGCAACCAAAACTCTTGGCTTTTCAGAAAACTGTCAAATACTTTAACATCAAACTGTTGCAATGCAAGGTATCTTTTTGACTGTTCTTCACAAAATATGACTTAAGTTTGAGCTATATGTAACTTAGGTTCTTCATAATTAGTTTGTGTAAATTTTACTCTCTTGCTCACAGAACCAGAAAATGTGGTAGCTTTTTTAATGCTAGTATTACAAAACAAAGCTACAAATGCAGCATATGTTTGTTTTGAATTTGAGCTAGATGAGCATAGTTCTTATGGTAATACATTTTCTGCTATGAATAATTACAGATAATATAAAAACAATAAATGTTAGTTTTATGTAATTTTTTATACATTGTACTGCCATGTTTCCTGATGGATATATAATAAAACAATGTTGTATTTTGTTACTTGATAGGTTAATAAAATCTAGTTTTCATGTAGTTTCTATTTGTGTGGAAATCAGTACAAGATATTTAAAATTACCATCACCTATACTTCTATGAACACTCTGCAAACTTGTACATTTTTCTCTTTTCTTGATAAGACCACTTCCATGTGTTTGTTGGAGACCTCAGCCCAGAAATTACAACTGAAGATATAAAAGCAGCTTTTGCACCATTTGGAAGAATATCGTAAGTAACATCTTATTGTCAGATATTGGGGGCAATCAAGTATTCAGTTGAATGCAATGAATAGAATGTTGGCAAATTAATTTATAGTCTCTACTTATTCAGATTATCAAATAATCAGTCTTACTAATTGTGCTTAGTGTTTTAGAAGATACATATATTTTACAATATTGGAAAATCTGTCTTCTAGGACTTATAATTTAGTTCACATTCTAGAATGGATTCTCATGTTAAGGCCTCTGTCTCCTGAGGTATCATATAGTCTCATTAAAGCAGCTTTAAAATTCATCGGGTTTCATAGAAAATGTGGCTTGCAAGACTTTGGCTTTTTGTGAAATGGGTGCTCTATTAAATAAAATAAACTAGAAATTGGTGTCCAGTGTAGTGCATTGCTGCTGTTGCTACAGATGTCCAGTGAAGTTAGAGTGACATGATAACAATGTATCATTGTACTTAATCTGATTTGAGTACTCACCAAAGGTTGAATAACAATAGCAATAGTTTGAAAAAGTGACTTCTAAATGTAGAACATCATGAACCGATTCATTAGTTTCGTAACTTGTGCAGACCTCCTGAGACCCAAGGGAGATGAATGGGTCTCTTGCTTCCTCTTATTGAAGACTGGTCTTCAAATTATTTCTTACTGTTGTAAATCTTGATTCAACAACACTTAAATTAGCTATTCTCAGGACTGATAAAAGCCAAGAACAAGTTGTGTGTCATGCTACTCACATTGCCTGGATCCGCACAGGATAGTGCAGGGAAATGGTCTGCACCCTCAGACCAGGGCGATCACGAAGGTCCTGGGCAATTGGGAGAAATCACCTCCCAGCTGCTACACGGTTGGAAATCTTCCCTTTATTTAAAAATGTTTTTTAAAAAATTAAATATCAGATTGCCCAATTGGGATTACATTAATATAGATGAAATTAGGGTTCATGCTGCCCTTTTTCATCGTATGTGGCATGAGCAATAATGAGTACAGTGGAAAACAGGGAGAGAGCGTTCCTAGAGCAGCTGGTCTGTGCTGGCAGCAGGACGAGAGAGTTCGCTCCCTTGCCCCTGTTTGCATGCTACAGATCACTTGAAGAGACCACTTGAGCCTCAACTAACTTAGAAGCTGTTCTGAGCAAAAAAGCCTGCTGCTGAGTTGAGTTCAGCCGTTCATATGATATGCCACACACACACACCCAGCCAGTTAGGGTTTATCCGTCCATTCTGAATGGGTGATAAGAGGCTGTCTGTTCTTTCCCACAATGCTTCCCTTCACAAGGCCTCTTGCTAGTGCATGTGTTCTTGCACTGCTCTGTTCATGAAGGTCCCATCAAACAAAAATGGGATCTGTGACCGCTCCTGGGCCAGCCAAAGAAAGAATGAGGCTTCCCTCTCCCCCCCCCCCATCCTTAGAGAGGTCTCTTTCTCTATCCATGTTAGACTTGAGGCAGCCCCCTCTGTCTTGGGCCTAGCTGTCAATAAATGCTATGGCAGGATTGCCTAGTCTTAAAGGTCCCCAACTGTCTGTGGCTTTGGGGATGTTGGGAGTCCTTTATGGCCACTCTCTCAAGAAAGCTGCTGTCGTAAATGTGGTGACATTCTTCCTTCTGCCCCTCTAAACTTGTAAGATGTTCCCCTCCTAGCTTTGCCTCTCTGTCTCTCCAGTCCTACCCCAAACAAGAATTGATCCAAACAAGAAACTAAGCTGCAACCTGATTCCTGAGGCTTGGGCTCCTTTTCCTTACATCATGAGAGCTATCTTATCGTCTGTCTATCTTTCTGTCTATCTCTCTGTCTATCTCTCTATCTATCTATCTATCCTGATGTATTATGGCTGCCTGTCTTAAACAAATAACTGGACAACTAACAAACAATACCTTAAAAGCCATGTTAATGGAAAATAAACTTAAACAATACAGAATTCAGTTAGGAATCATAATTCTCTTACAATACAAAATATATATTTAATCAAATTTGTATAGCCGCCCATCTCACAAAAAGCGACTATACTACATATTCTGAAAAAAGCAAAGTATTTTATGTTGTAATTAGGTAGTAATCCTAGTGCATGTCAAAGGGTACCATTTTAAATATTAAAATACTTAATGGTAGGGTCTGATTTGTTTTGAGAAAAAGTATTGCTTCGGGGGGCGGGGGGGAGAGGAAAAGTAAAACCTTTGACCAAAGGTTATTCTTAGTGGTCTTTTTCCTAAAGAACCTTTGCTTAAAATATTTTGGATGCTAGGATTTAGAAGCAAAAACTATGAATAAAAATTCTTGAGATTTTTATAAGCTAAAAATTACTTCAGTTTTTGTTTAAAGGACAAACCAGCTTGGTGTGGTAGTTAAGACATCAGACTAGAGACAGGGAAACTCCGAGGTCTAGTCCCTCCTTGGACATCAAGCTAGTCCCTCCTCTCAGCCCCAGAAAGGAGGCAGTGGCAGACCACTTCTGACAGACCTTGGCAAGAGAACTGCAGGGACATGTGCAGGCACTCGCTGAGAGTTGGACACGATTGAATGGAAGTAAAAAGGAACCTTTAATATTTATAATGCATTGAATACCAATATAAAATTTGTTCTTTATCAGCTGCAGTTGAAGTCTCCGATTCATGACCCCTTTCAGGGATCTACTACTAATGTCAGTGAAGGCGAAGGGCCTGTGCGCTCCAATCCCAGCCCTCTGCCTCCCTGAACGTGGTGCAGAACTGACCACAGATAACGTGAGCTGCACAGGTTTGCCATTCTCATGAAGACAAATCCGTTTAGTTGCCTGTGGTTGTGGTTCCTCTTCAGATCTTCCATATTCACATGGGAGCCTGTGGGATGGAGGAGGGGAGTGCATTGCCTCCCCCCCCACGCCCCTATAGTTACATTTGTAGGCCTTTAAAGAGTACCATACTTTTGTGGAGGACTCTGTAGCCCTTAGTACTGGTAAAGGTGGTCTGTCCTTGTTTTGGAAATAGTTGTTTGATTTTGATTCATGCAGACTGAGATAGAAAATGACTAAGCGAATCTACAATTGCAGCCCTTAAGTTCTTCCTCATTCAGGTGTCTGGTCTAGCATCTTCTGGACATCATTTTGTTCTCTTTTGAGACCTGAGATTTTCAGGGTGCCGGAAACCAGTCTTCACCACCACAGTGGTTGGATTTGCACAGCAGGATATATAGGATATATAAGTACAAGGAAATACAGAACCTGATGATGGCTTGGTGCATGGACTTGGCCAGTTGAAGGCCTAGAACACATTCCAGAGCAAGATTTGCCCAAGTTGTTTAAGTTTAATTTTCTGCAATCATAGTCGCTTTGTTTTTAATGTGATAAGCTTGTAAACTCCAGACATGAGTTAACTTAAAAGTTCTGCTACTGCTGTGATGTGAGTTTGCAGTTGATTCTTGAAGGGGAAGGCCTGTCTGCTACCCGTCCCAGTGAGCTTCATTCCGAGTGATTCTGAATAGCTGCATTGAGATTTGTGTCAGCCTAGAGATAGGAAGGGCAGAATACATGTTGGGAGCTAAAGAGTCTCTACACATCCATCCTCGAAGCCCAAAACTTCTGCCCCACTAGCTTTGATCCAGAATTGCTCTGGCAGCATGCTGGTGCTAATCCTAACCAGGGATGGTGTGTACTGGTGTGCTTATATTACATCAGTAGCTGAAACTCTTGTTCCTTAACCACTGAAGGAGATTGAGAAGGAAGACAGAACATTGGAATATATTTAAGAATAAAAACATAGCCAGCATGCAGTCTTTCAAGTTTCCTTTAACTAATTCAGAAAGTAGAAGAACGTGTACTTCATCTGTTATTTTTAATAGCTGAACTAGAATGCTACATATTTAGTATACTGAAAATGTTAAAAATAAAAATGTTATTTTATTCTCTTGAGGGGTGGCTTTCAATTTCTGGGTGAAAATAATTTGTTGTAATCTAGCGATAGTTCCAGAAGTATTAATTTGAATAATTCAGTATTTGTATAAACTTTAATGTATACTTAGAACAAATTGATAATTATATACTTCTGTATAAATGCATTTATTCTATCAGGGTTTGACTAGTACGTCCATGTGTTTGTGGCTTGGGTTCTTATTTTAAAAAATGATAAGTACAGAGAATCATCCATGTTATTATGAAATTAATTGTTCCCTGCTCTAACTTAGACAACTAAAAGTTTAAGGCAAATATCCATTTCTTCTGGATTATTGGGTTATTTTCTTTCTTATAGAATAATATCTTTAATGATCTTGATACCTAGTTGGCTGTTCAGTGATTTTCCAATTCCTTAGCTTCTCTTCCTTATATCTTAAGTACCAGAAGATAGATACTGAATGTCTATAGAAAATCTTTTGAGGAATTGCTTGGCATCACATGAAGCCTTTTCTAGATTTAGTGTATGGGACTGTCTTTTGGGTGTCCTGCATGGCCTCCCCCCCCCCTTTACTCTGTGATTAAGTGTCTGCGTGTCAAGTGCCTAAATCATGTGGGTTGGGGAGGGTAAAGCTGGCTGCCTGTCTAAGCCTTCTCGATGGTGCACCCTTAATGCATAAATTATCTGAGGGGCCCTTAATTAATAAAAATGGCATTTCCACCAGTGGGGTTTAGCTATTGTAGCTGGGTCTTTGTCTTTTTTAACTCAATCTCAAATAATAGGGCTCTGGTTATTTTGCAGAATGTCTCTGAAGAATGGACAGCATTGCCATGGCTAACTGCAAGCTACAGTTCACAGTGGACAAACGTTGTAGTTTTTCTATTTACTTTTATAAATTTTTACTTTATATACTTTGTAGTTTTCAATCAGTCCTGTATGATTGTTAATTACGAATGCAGTTTTTAAAAATTATTTAATAGTGTATAGTTTAAAAAAACATGTTAGTGTTTATTTTCTTCCATAATGCAACCATTTCTGAAAATGTCAATTTCTCAAAATTTACAGCTGCCCAAGTCCAAAAAGGGGGTAACGAATTGACCTGAGAAAATTAAAGAATTCAGTTAACAGGCGACGTATGCCTTTTAATTCCTATTTTTTCATTTTTTCTATTTTCTATTTCTAATAAGTAGGTAGAATGTGTTGGCCAATAGTAAGTTTATAAATTGCATGGTTCAAGAGAGCCTGTTGCTAATATGCTAGTCAACTCCATGCCCTCAGTTATTCCTTTGAATAGCTGCTTTGACCATGCCTAGTGTTTTTAACAGTATATAAGAGCATTGAACTGTGAACCAACGACTGTAAAATAGTTGTTTTTAAAGCTATTGATTTTGCATGTTTACAGAATTAAGTTTAATTTTTGCTATCATGTAATAAGACTTTATAGTAAAAGGGAAAATTGCTTTGTATATTGCTGGTGCATTTAAGAAATTCATTTTATTAAAGGAGAAACATGAGAAATGAGCTGCGTGTGAGACATTTTTACTTAGATTCTGTTCAGTTGATGTTTAACAGGCTTTCTCTTTCCTTTTTAGGGATGCCCGAGTTGTTAAGGACATGGCAACAGGAAAATCAAAAGGATATGGCTTTGTTTCTTTTTTCAATAAATGGGTGAGTTCCTGCGTTTTGATTGATGGTTTTACTCCCAACGCACAGCTGGTCAAACGTATCCAGCAACTATTACGGATGGCATCTTGGTGAAGCTGGTTGTGCAATAACACAAAATGCTGAAATAGTTAGATATGCTTTATTTCAGAAATCTTGTGGCAGTAAACTACACTATGTTACTAATAATCCAGAACCTGACAAGATAATTCGCTATTACTAACAGTCCGGATGTACTAAGTGATTTTTCAGCAGTATAGTTCCATTGGCCTTTGTGCTATGCGCCAGTGACACCTTTTCCTGGATAGGGAGGCTCCATCACTCACGCCCTTGTCATCCCCTGTTTGGACTATTGCAATGTGCTCTACATGGGGCTACCCTTGAAGAGTATATTATGTTTTATAGTTGTATGCGAGGGAGAGAGGGATGATCCAGACACAAGAACAATAGGGCAACTGCAACACTTCCTTCTGATTGGTTTTGGAAATAATGATCAATCTTATCTTCAACTAATACAATGAAACTTAAATTGCCTGCGGTTCATAGAATTTCACTTCATAATGCTTGTACATTCACATTTCTTTTAAAATAGATACTGCTCTTTTCAGAAAAGAAGCATATTCTTTTCAGTCTTAATTTGTTAATAAATGATTTTTTATGATACAGTTCTTGAAATATGTGAGAAATGTGGAGAATGGTGAGCCACAAATAAGCCTTTTGTAAATCAGAGTGATATAATTTTATTCCTCTTGGTAGATGTGATACTATAATAAATGTTTATGACAGGCAAAAAAAATACTATGATTTAGTGTTCTTTGAAAGGTTTTTTAAACATATTTTTTTCTGGACCTGGATAGGATGCAGAAAATGCAATTCAACAAATGGGGGGACAGTGGCTTGGTGGAAGACAAATCAGGACTAATTGGGCAACACGCAAACCTCCAGCTCCAAAGAGTACATATGAATGTGAGTAGTCTTCAAAATAAATTAGGCATTTCCAGCTATAAGAAAAAAGCTTTCCTGAATCCAAAATGATTGTCCTTCGCTACGGACAAGTGTATCCGATTAATGGGCTATTGCTGGCGCTGAAAGATTTAATCTCTAAATTTTCAAACTAGGCTTTGAATTCCTACCAGTGTTAGATTGTGAACTAAATATTTCAGAAATTGAAATTAATACCATTTAAAGTTAATTGTAAAAGGAAATCAACCCTGACTGTCCTTTGGAAGGGCTGAAGCTGAAGCTCAAATACTTTGGCTACCAAATGAGAAGAGGGGACTCATAGGAAAAGACCCTAATGCTGGGAAAGAGTGAAGGCGAAAGGAGAAGAGGAGGGCAGACGAGATGCTTAGATGGTGGGGTCATTAATGCAAGGAACATGAGTTTGAGCAAACTCCAGGAGATGGAGGGAGGACCGGGGGGGGGGGTGTCCTGGTATGCTGTGCTCCATGGAGTCGCGAAGAGTTGGACATGACTTAGCGACTGAACAACAACAAAAAGTTAATTGTAAATCCTTAGGATAGAGCATGATAGTTTTGGAAAATAGTTTTTCAAATGTCATTTCTTTTGTTTCATTATATTCAGTATTTTTAGACATCTTCACTTTATTGTAAATAAATCAGAGACTAGTAAAAACTTTGTTTTTTTACATAGCAAATGCCAAACAGCTCTCCTACGATGATGTTGTAAATCAGTCCAGTCCAAGTAACTGCACTGTGTATTGTGGTGGTGTAACTTCAGGTCTGACAGGTAGGATATGTCATTAATTTAGAGTGACCTTGTGAAGAACAATTGAGGCGCACATTCTGAAATCTTTTCAATCTTCTTGTTTGCAGAACAGCTGATGCGCCAGACATTTTCTCCATTTGGGCAGATAATGGAAATTCGAGTCTTTCCAGATAAAGGGTACTCCTTTGTACGGTATGAAAATATTTCCCTTGCACACCCTATTTGTGTTTTCAGAAGTTTTATAAAACCACCTCTAGTTAATCTCTAACTAATGTGCAAATTCACATTTAGAATTAGAATTTGTTATTGGCCAATGTAATTGGACACACAAGGAATTTGTCTCCGGTGCATAAGCTGTCAGTGTACATACAAACAACAAGTGATAAATCATGATCATAATCATAAAATACAGTCATCATTAATCATAAGATACAGCACTCAGTGATAGTCATAGGATACTAAATAAGCAATCAACATAAATCATACTAGGATACTAAATAAAACTATATAAAGTGATTCGCAGAGAGACAGATGGATGTGTTGCGGTGTGCAAAATGTTTTTAATACAGAGCTTCATTCATATTTTAAAAACACAACTGAGGCTTTGGCAAATGCTATAAGCACTTCAGCCAGCATGAAGGAGTTGGTAGAAAGGAACCCTATGCCATTCCAGACAAGTGGCTGTCCAGTCTCTTTTAAAAACCTCCACTGATGGAGCAATCACAATTTCTGGAGTTAAGCTGTTCCACTGGTTAATTATTCTCACTGTCAGGAAGAGTGATCTTAACAGTGCCGTATAAAGTGGTAGTATTACTTTGTGTGATATGGGTACTATTCCTCTGCCAAGCACTGCATTGGCTTTTTTGGCAACTGCAGCTGCAACACGCTGCTGACTCATGCTTGATTGGTTGTCCATTGGGACTTTTAAATCCCTCTCATTGTTAACTGCTGTTGAGCCAGATACCACCTCTTCTATACTTGTACATTTAGTTTTTCTTGCCTAGGTGTTTCTCATTACTGAATGGCATTTTGTTGGATAGGGCCCACTCTGCCAACATACTTCCAAAGAAGGGTCAAATAAAGTAAAACAAGTATTTTTGTCATGCTGTGTGGCTGAGAATTCTTCAGACTTATTTTCTGCATATGTCACTTACGATGTCGTCTGACCTCTAGTGCAGGGCCAGAGCAGAGCATGTGGCTTTAGATTCTGTCTTTCAACTTGTCCTCAAAACTTACTTTCCCAGTCTTGTCATCTTCCACATGGACAGCATGTGCCTATTCATATTAATAAAGAGTTGTTGCATCATCTTTTATATGCTGTCTCGTTAATGAGAGCGATTATATTAATTTACTTCCTTGGATGCTTTACAGGTTCAATTCTCATGAAAGTGCTGCACATGCGATTGTTTCGGTCAATGGCACAACAATAGAAGGGCATGTGGTGAAATGCTATTGGGGCAAGGAGACACCAGACATGATCAACCCAATTCAACAGGTAAGAGTCCTTTGCTATTACCTGTCCCGCTAAAAAGCATTCCAAAAATTACTATATAGAGAGGTCCTCCTTTTTTTGTTATTCATTTATAGTCTGGTAATCATAGTTGGAAGGTGGATAGAAATTAGCTATATTATGTGTCATAGTGAAGAACTCTTGCAGATTCCAATATGACGTAAAATGATTTCCCTGTACTTTATTGGACATGAATTTGCAAAGTGATTTTGCCTGTGTTCCATGCAAACTTTGAATACTCCTTCGCATTTTCAGCAGAATCAAGTGGGGTATCCGCCTCCTTACGGGCAGTGGGGCCAGTGGTATGGAAGCGCCCAGCAGATTGGCCAGTATATGCCTAATGGCTGGCAAGTCCCTGCATATGGGATGTATGGGCAGGCGTGGAACCAGGGGTTCAGGTGAGTGTTGGAGTTTGCTGAGGCTGGCTGGCGGTAATGAAAATGAAAGTACACATAGTTGGAGCACTAAGTTTTCATTTTTAAATGTTCATAGAATAACTGTTATGTGCTTGTTTGAAAGACAGCATTTGTGTCTTCACCAGTTCAATTATTTTTATATATTTATAGGTTGCATACATAAAAGGGATAAAATACTAATTAAACCAGCATTAAAAGAAGCCTACTACAAAATTAGACCGTCCTTTCAAAATAGTAAACCACAGTTGTGCCTAGAATACCAAATAGTAATAAATTTTATTCACCAAAAGGTTGATTAAATAAACAGCTCTTAAACGCTAGCAGCAATGGAACATTTGATGAACTGAGTTGCCTTCAAACGCCCAGTTCATAGTTACTGCTACTTTAGTCTCAAAAGGTGAAGGAGCTGTGATTCCAGGCTTCTGGTCTTATGGAAAATATACAAGAAACACTCAACTTGATTGCTTGCTGTTGTCTATTATAATGCAAGCTTTATCTAATCTCATTTCTTCTTCCATTCAGTCAGACACAGTCATCTGCAGCATGGATGGGTGCAAATTATGGTGTACCACCCCCTCCACCGCCCCCACCACCACCACCCCAGGGGCAAAATGGAAGTGTCCTAACTAGTCAAACTGGATATCGGATGGCAGGTTTTGAAACACAGTGAGAGACAGAGAAGGACTCTGGAATAGAACACCTGTGGCTTTGAGGCTGTATGGAGCATTGTAAAATCCTTTGTTTACTTAAAAAAAATCTATCCAATCAAGTCAGTGCAAAAGTCAAACAGTATTTATTTTTAATCATGAAACGTTGTTGTTGTCCACGCTTTTTTTTAAAGACACACAGGAAATACTAGATGCTGGATATCTGCCAACTTTTGCCTTCTTTTCCTCTTTTGAGATGTGTTTCTTAAGATCCATGTTTGAAACACAACTAATGCAGGGATTTCTGCCACTTTTAGTATAGCGGCAGGAAATTGCACAATATCAGACTTTTTTTTCCACTGAAGTAGTATGCAGTCTAGTTTGCATTCCTAGTATGACTTAAATGTACATGAAAGAAGTTATACGAGAGAAAAAAGACACGCCAAAACTGTGTGAATTCTGGGGGTTTATTGAAATCTTCAGTTTGTGCACAATTCTGTTTTAAAGAGAGCCTGATGTATAAAGTGTCCATCTCCTTGCTTTTGTTATACTGGGATTTCAAATATAACTTATTCGTTTACATTATTTTGTACCTAAACATTTTTCGGAAAATGGTTTTTGCCTTACTATCACTATTAAATTATGAAGTAGGAGTCAGGATGTGGGCAAGCGCCTCGTGCTCAGAGAATCCAGCTCTGGGGCTCGGTGTCAGGCTGTCCCTGTTCATTGACTCAGTGACCTCCTTCACGGATGAACATAAGCCCAGTTCAGATCTTATTAAAATGTGACACGATCTTAGGAGCCAGCTTTTTAAAACCTGTCCGTTTTTACATTTACATATATCCTTTATCATGTAAACTATTTTAGCAAATTAATATTTTCACAAAAGTCGCTCAGCTTTTGTATGTCTCCTTTGAAAGAGTAAGAGACAGGAAGAACTACATGACTTATGGCTATAATTTAAGCTTTGACTTTTGCATGTGAATATCTAATACACTGTTAGACTTTGAATAAACAGTCATGCTCTCGTTTTTCAGAGATAGAGAGAATACATTGGTCTTGGCAGCTTTTTACTGACGTGGAGCAAGTCTGACTTGATTTAGCATGTACAGATAGAGCTGTTAAACTATATAGCGTTGTGTCTTATCAAGCCAGGAGTAAAAGGAGTGCTTCAGCTGAAGCCTGAAGGACCAACTGGATAAAGCATTTTTGAATTGTTCAGAGGCCAAATAATAATAATAATAATAAATAAATAATAGCGTTTTCCTACCTCCTTGGCTAGTTTTCAGATGATGCAGAAGGAACGCTACTCTGGGTGTAGTGATTATCTATCCCAATTAACATCTGGGCACGTGGAGATGTTTGCTTTCCATTTTGCTTTGGTTGTAGTGGAGCAACCGTTTGAGAAGTTGCCGGTATGCACAATACAGCGACCAGCCACCCTCATTTGATGGAACAAAAGGGGCCAGAACCAAAGCAGAGGGTTGGCTGCTAGGAAAACAAATTGTCTTGTAGACAGGTCCTGGCCCTAACATTTTATAAATAAAGCATCCCCAAAAGATGCCATTGAATTTGTAGATTAATTTCACTCACGTCTGCTTTAACATTTGTATAAACCTATCTTTTTTCTGCTTACTATCTCTGTCTGCACAATTCTTTTAAAAGAGAAATGTGAACAGGTGTGAGGTGAGCCTAGTGCCATTTGGGGAGTTTTCGTTGTATATATTTTCAATAGCAGAATTGAGTACAGATTTCTTTCGCAGAAGCCAGCAAAGATCCCACAGCCAGCAAACCAAGAAAGTTTCAACATCTTGACAATATTTGTTATTGTCCCCGAGTAAGTTGAGTTGAGTAACACAAGCTTTAATGCATTTCAACAATATGTAAATATTTGAAAGGGTAAGGCAAAAAAAGATTTTCAGTATTTTTTAAAAGTTGTATTACGGCTTCAGTCTGACAATACTATGAAAGCAATGGATTGCCCTGTTGGTTTCCTGGGAGGAGACCCTTCCCTGCTGAGCCTCCGTGAACCAGACCCGATTTTGCGTCCCATTAGTGGAAGCTTTTTAAGGGCCACTGTTGCTGCAGCCAGGGTGTGACACGGGCCCTAAGGAAAAAGGAGGGACTGTTTCTTCCTCTTCCTCTCCCCCAGCTTCTCTCTCATTCAGGCATCAGCTTTCTTACTCTCTCAGATGTGCAAACAGGATCTAACAGTCTTCGGGCAACAGGAGAAAATGCTGCCTGGGTGTGTTGTTTTTTTTAAGTAGCAGCCCGTTTTTTTTATTTCTGTATGAACTTTGGAAGCTTCATTTAAACGAATGTGTTTTGATACTTATGTACAGAAGTTGAAGAACTTCACTCCAGAAGCCCTGACTTTTGAAAGCCATTAAGATGTTAATAAAAGATGTGAGCTCGCATTTACCCTTGTATATTTTAAATGGTTTTTGTTTTTAGCTATTCCAAACTTGCTTTGGGGGAAAGAGGTTGGCGGCAGAACCGGTAGCGGAGCGTTCGCCGCGAGGCCGTCGGGGGCTGCCCCCGGAGAGTGGAGCGGCCTCGCCTAGAGGGCCGCTTTTCCCCCAGGATGCGGGGCTGCCGGGCGCCACGTGCCTCTTCCGGAGGAGCGGGGCCCGGACTCGGTCTCCCGTGGTGCTTCGCGCGCCCCGGCCCGGCCAATGAGAAGCTTCGTTACAGACGGATTTCGCGAGCCGTTTGTAAGAAGCCATCGCGGAGGCCGCTCGCCGCCTTTCCTCGCCGGCCGCCGGCCTGGGACGCTGGGGGGGGAGCCGCCAGGTAAAGGCGACGCGGAGGGACCCGGGACGGGGGCAGGAAATGACGACGCGCGGCCTTCTGGCGGTCCCGGGTTGCCAGGGAGAGCGGCGGTAGCGCGTGACGTCAGAGGCGGGCGGGCGGAGCGGGGCCGTCGGAGCGGCTTCCGGGTGTGTGGACTCCACTTCCCAGGACTCTCAGCGGGGACGATGCCGACGAGGGCATTCTGGGAGCTGAAGTCCACCCATTTTATAATAACCCAGCGGGAGAATGGCTGAATTCGGGTCACGGCCAGCCAGGAACGCGCGCGGGCCCGGACACGAAGCGCGGAGCTCGAGGCTCCTCCGAGGCGTCCCGGTTTGGTCAGGCCCTTCTCGCTCCGCACGAGGGAGGCCGCGCGACCTGGAGGGCTACGGGGCTTCCCGAAGGGCCTGGCGCGGACCAGCCTTCCCGTCGCCTAGGCCCGCATTTGCCAGCCGTGGCCGCTTCCAGGCCGGGAAACTCCAGCTCCCAGAATCCTCATCGGTGGCCGCGCCGGCTGTGGGATTGTGGGAGTTGAAGTCCGCTCGGCTGGGAAGGGCTGCGGCTGGAGCTCGGGCCGAGACGAGCGAGGCGTCTCCCGCTGGAGAGACCGCCGTCCAGACGCTGCCGTTTCCCTCGGGAATGGATCCCTCCCGAGGAGAAGGACCCGGAGCACAAAACCCCCGGGGCTGGAAGGGACCGCGGGGGCGTCCAGTAGCCCAAGGCAGGAGGCCAGGAACCCCGCCAGTCCCGCGGCCGGCCCGTCTCCCCTTTCTCTCCCCCCCCCCCCAGTGACTGGAGGAGGGGAGCTGCTCTCACTGTCGTTTCTCCTGGAAAGTGAAGGGCGACCCTTTTCTTCTTTCAGAGGAGACGGGGTCCCAAAGGCCCATACGAATCCAAGAGCTCATTAAGGGACACCGGGTGCTTGTTAAAACAAGTCTGCTGTATTTTCTACTTAAAGTACTGCATTCAGTATTTTAGAAGTCTCATATAATGACAGAGATGGAGGGAAACTTGAAGGTCTTCTAGTCCAACCCCCTGCTCAAGTATTGGAAAACAGCCCTTCTCTTTGCTAGATTTTTTGTTGTTAGTTGCGCAGTCGTGTCCCACCCATCGCGACCCCATGGACAACGTTCCTCTGGGCCAGGGGTAGGCAACCTCGGCTCTTTTATGACTCATGGACTTCAACTCCCAGAATTCCCGAGTCAGCTATGCTGACTCGGGAATTCTGGGAGTTGAAGTCCATGAGTCATAAAAGAGCCGAGGTTGCCTACCCCTGCTCTCGGCCTTCCTGTCCTCTACCATCTTCTGGAGTCCATTTAAGCTCACGCCTAAATACCTAATTTCTGCATTGTTCATCATACGTTTTAGCTTCCCAGCCCCTAATCATCTTTGTTGCTCTTCTCTGCACTCTTTCCAGAGCCTCAACATCTTTTTTGTATTGCGTTGTAACCAGAACTAGACTCAATATTCCAAGTGTGGTCTTATCAGTGCAATACAAAACACTTGATTCTATCCTTCTGTTAATGCAGCCTAGAACTGCATTGGCCTTTTTGGCAGCTGCCGCACATGGCTGGCTCATATTTAAGTGGTTGTCCAGGATGCCTCCCTATTTACTGCTGTTGAGCCAGTTATTTCCTATTCTAGATCTGCATTTGATTTTTCCTGCCTAAGAGCAGGACTTGACTTATTGCCCTCCAGCCACACACACCCCTCCTCCTCCTCTTCCTATTCTTTGGCAATTGGCCTGTATGATGCTGTGTGCAGATAAATGGGGATTCCTTTTTTAAAAAAAAATATTGATTTTTTAATACAATTCAACAAACGTGTTGTCTGAGTTTATCATTCACTAATACAAATTGAATTCCTAATCCCTTATTCTTTTCTCCAGCTATTGATAAAATAAGTCCCAAGTTTGAAAGTATTCTGTTTCTTTTTTTTTCTCTCAACTTCAGAGTAAGTCTGTCTATTTCCGCACAATCTAGTATTTTTTAAATTATTTCTTCCTCTGGTGGTATTTCTTCATTTTTCCAATATTGTGCGAATATGATTCTTGCCGCTGTTATCACATGTAAAATCAAGTATATACTTTGTTTGTCAAGCTTTTCTGGCATTATATCTAATAAAAAAAAGTTCAAGTTTAAAATCTATATGTTTTCCCAACATCTTTTCTAGCCAAGTATGTATTTTTGTCCAATATCTCTTTGCTTTAACACACGTCCACCAAGAAGGAATCCTTTCGCTCAGGGAGTCAGACACTCATTTTGCACTTGAAAACGCCCTACAAAAGCTGACGGGGTTCATCCTGCCCACTCCACTTGCTTGATGCCATTGCTGCGCCCAGTTTCACACTTGCAGCTTCCTTCAGCATGGAAATCAGCCACAAAAATCACACACACGCCACACTAGATAGCCCTAATCATTCACCAAAACTACCTGAGGTTTTGATCCTCCCTTTACAAAAGCCTTTGCTCAGATTTTGACACTGACTCCTCTTCAGGGCTGCTCTCAAGGGGAAGAGGCTTCCTTGTCTTCTCCTTCCAGTGTCAGGGAGCGGATCCTGCTGGTTTGAGAACGGGAGAGAGTCGAGGGGAACCTGCCCACCCAGGGCCTGCCGGAGGCTTCAGAGCAGCAGTGGCTTCATTGTGACACCCCCACGGCGGGCAATCTGTATTCTCACCAGAATCCTGAGGAGGATTCCTGACATTCCGCCCTGTCCCGTCCCCTGCAGGGCTGGGACTGGCTCTGGCTCAGGCTGGCTGCTCACAGACGCTCCGCTCGGTGTTGAACCACTTGGTGAACCACACTGTCCAGGCAATGGTGGGTCATCAGACGATGGGGGAGGGGGGGGCTATGTTTTCAGCTTCTCCTTGTTGCTTTAGGTATTGGGTTTCACTTTCTGCAACTCAGATCAGCTCAGCCAGCTCCTCTGAAGAATAACTGAAGAATAAATGTTGTTCTCTCCATTTTAGGAGATGGCACACTAAGGAGTTGGTCAGCACTGCCCAACTAGGACTTTTTTTTCTGACCTCCCTAGTTTTGTTCTTCTGGTTACCAGGTGGAGGGAAGCAGGCTGAGCTGAGTGTGCTTGGGCTAGTTTTGTAAACCAACTCTCCCCTGGGTGGTCAGCTCCGCTCTTTGTGCCAGAAGACCCAGTCTCGGCAGCAGGTGGGGGTGGGAGTCCAAGTGCCTGCTTTGCATCTTGGAGGCAGACTTTCTGTTCTTCCACTGAAGGAGGCCAGAGGTCTGAACAAAGGTAGGCCGTCTCAGGTGCTGAGTGTGGCGATTGGATCTGGCTGGTGGGTTATAATCTCTTTAGGAAATTATCCTACGCAAACCATGGTAAAACTGAAGGAGTGGGAAAGGTCTCTTTTAAAATAAGCTCTGTTCTGTCACTGTCTTTAGGACAGGGGTGTCAAACTGCCGCCCCACGGGCCAGACGCATCACACAGAAGCCGTGCCCACCCCATGGCCGGCAATGGCAAAACGGTCCCGATAAGTCGTACATCATCATGTGACGTCGCGAGTTTGACATGTCTGCTTTAGGATAATTCCCCAGTTGGTTGTACTTTTTGTTTATTGCTTACGGTCCTCCTTAGATCTCCCACTTTTGGCACCAGAATTGCTCTCTGAATTTCATAGAATGATAGAATCGTAGAGTTGGAAGGGACCTAGTCTGCACCTATGCAGTTGATTTTTCTTGCCTAAGTGTAAAAACTTACTTTTATCTATGTTGAATTTCATTTTGTTAGATAGAGCCCAATGTTCAAGTCTGTCAAGAACTTTTTGGATCTTGAACTTGTCTTCTGGAATGTTGGCTATCTCTGCCAGCTTATCTGCAAATTTGATCCCTTTCAAGTCCCTGGTCTAGATCGTTTATGAAGATAAGAGTGCTGGGCCTAAAACAGAACCTTGCAATAGCCCACTGCTTACTTCCCTCCATGTGGATGTAGTTCCATTAAGGACTACATGTTGAGTACGATTTGTCAGCCAGTTACAAACCCATCTGGTGGTAGTGTTGTTTATCCCACATTTTTTTAGCTTACCAAGAAACAGATTGTGGTCTACTTTATCAAACCCTTTACTGAAATCTAAGTATACTATGACCACAGCATTTCGCTGGCCCACTAATTTCTGCAGTCCATTTCTGGTGCTTTTCTCAGACAAGAATCAGAGATGGTAAATATTCCCAGGAAAACAGTTTAAACCCACCCCAGAAGTGACCCCCAAGGACCTGGGCGGGGCTTTTCTACTGAATCAAACTTTCCCACTCCTCTTTGGCCCAGGTTCTCTGAAGGATGGACTCCGTCTCCCTGAGGAGTAAAGTCCCGGCTTTCTTATCAGACCTGGGGAAAGCAACCTTGAGAGGCATCAGGAAATGCCCCCGATGCGGCACCTACAACGGCACTCGTGGGCTGAGCTGCAAAAACAAGACCTGTGGCACCGTCTTCCGCTACGGCTCACGGAAGCCGGCTGGCATTGATGCCGTCAAGATCATTACCGGCTCAGACCTCCAGATCTACTCGGTGCGGCAGAGGGACAGGGGCCCTGAATATCGGTGCTTTGTGGAGCTGGGCGTCTCGGAGACCACCATCCAGACTGTGGACGGGACCATCCTCACCCAGCTCAGCTCTGGGCGCTGCTACCTCCCAGCATGTCTGAAGGCAGCAACCCAAGGGGTGGTGGAAAACCAGTGCCAGCACCTGAAGCTTGCTATGAGCTGCCAGGCAGAGGCCACCCCCTTGACGCTGAAGAGCTCCGTCTTGAACTCAATGCAGGCCTCGCCCCAGACCAAGCAGACCCTCTGGGAGCTGGCCACCCAGCCCTCGGGGCCCCTGGTGCAAAGGATCACTAAGAACGTGCTGGTGGTCAAGTGCAAGGCCGGCCCGAAGCACAGCTTGGGCTACCTCCACATCACTTTTGCTCCCAGGTCTGGCCACAAGCACCTAGCGGGCCCCCGCTTTTTCTGCCCCTGCCAGTCCTTGAGGGCCAGCAAGGCTGGCTCTGCCACGGAAGAGGGCAGCCAGAGATGCATCCATTTCTTTGCCTGCATCTGTGCCTTCGCCAGCGACGAGGCTTTAGCCCAGGAGTTTGCGGATTTCCTCAGCGATGAGCCTGGCGGTGGGTATGCACAGAGGACGGAGCAGCCGCTGGGGGGTGGGGGAGGAGACCTTCTGGCCCCCTCCAGCCTCCTGAGCTTCAGCACTGATTAGTGGGCAGCAGAACGGCCCAGGCAGGCCTGGCTTTTGGTGGGTGGCGGGAGCAAAAGCCGCCCCTCAGGCCGGTCTGAGCGAGGGCGCTCCCTGGTTACGGCGCTGTGGCTGGCCCCAGGCTCTTCCAAGAAACGGGGAGGCTCCTAAGCGGCCCTTTTTCTTTCCCACTTGCAGGTTTGCAATCCCCGGCAAGAGCTCCGCTTGCTTGCCAGCCAGAATCCCCTCTGCCCTCGGGAGACTCTGCGGCCTCCAAAGCGAAGCGCAAGAAGAAGGACGAAGGGCTGGGTGAGAAGCTTCAATGTTGGCTCATTTTCTGGGCGGATCTGGGTTCCGTGTTGACATGCTAGAACAGGAGTTTCTGAACCCGTCAAGACGTGTGGAGTTCAACTCCAGAGTTTGCTGGCTGGGGAGTTCTGGGAATTGACCCACCTTAACACTGTTAAGGCCTGTGATGCGGACGGGAGCTCCTTCCTTATTTGTCCTCAGTCCTTATTCCACTCATAAACTAGCATGAAATATGAAATCGCAATCATTCAAGAAATACTGGCAGTCCTCAACTTACCACCACTGAGCCCAAAATTTCTTTTGCTAAGCAAGACGGTTGTTAAGGGAGTTTTGCCTCTTTCTTTCCAGTTCTTAAGTGAATTGCTGCACCTGTTAAGTTCATAAGAAGGTTGTTGAATAAATCCAGCTTTCCCCACTGACTTTGCTTGTCAGAAGGTTGCAAAAGGGGGTCCCGTGACCCTGGGACACTGCGACCGTCGTAAAGACGAGTCAGTTGCCAAGCGTCTGAATTTTGATCACGTGACCACGGGGAGGCTGCAACAGTTCTAAGTGTGAAAAATGGTTGTGACACTTTTTTCATTGCCATCGTAACTTTGAATGGTCACTAAATGAACAGTTGTAAGTTAAGGACTACCAGTAGATATTTAAGGTACAGCATGACAGAATAGCATCAAAGTTATGGAGATTGCTAACACAAAAATATAGCCCTGAGTTCTAACTACAAGAATCCTTGCTATTAAAACTGTAAAGGGAGTGATGTAGGGCTGCCTGCGGGTGATCCAAAGAAGTGCGTGGGTGCGTGGCTCCCAGTCTGCTTTCCTCCTTGTGTGCCCCGTAACGCCCGCCTCTCCAGTCACCCTGCCCTGGGAGGAGGGCAGGGGGAACGCACACTGGCTGCAAGGGCGACCAAGTGGCGGAGGGAGGCTGCGAATGCAGGAGTTGGGTGCAGTTATTTTTTCAGCACTGTTGTAACTTCAAACAGTCACTGAACAAGGCAGTCAGTAAGTGAGGTCCTGCTTGAGTAGGGGGTTGGATTAAAAGACCTCCAAGGTCCCTTCCAATTCTGTTATTCTGGAAGAGACTTGCTCTATGAACAAGTCTGAATTAGAAAAGCTTAAACTTAAACATGTGTTCCAGTTGTTCATCTTTCTTAGAACCCCTGGTTGTCATTCTTGCTTCGTTTTTTGTTCTCTTGAACGAAGGCACCTTTGCCAGGTGACATCAAAGCCCATGAGTTTCTTGCAATCATGTCTGAGTTTTAAAAAGGGATCACCTTCATTCTCATAAATGCAGCGTACAATTCTCTCCCTTTGCCATTTCTGGAGAAGGCGCTCTCTAGGAGCATCCTTTGTGTCATGATTGTTCCACTATCGGAAAGAGGCTGGGAGAAAGGTTGTCCATTCTGAAGGCGTTCAATTTGGCCTTTCAGGCATGCAGGCCAGCAGCCCCCTCTTGTCTCAAGATCTGGCAAACAACTCCTTGCAGCAGAAAAATGGACTGAAGAAGGCATCCGTTGCATCGCTGAAAAGGCAAAGTGAGTTCATTCCCTTCCAGACCACAAGGCCGCAGAGCCCCCACCCCAACAAGCCCCCCCCAAGCTTAGGCAAGGCTATTTAGAAGGCCCTTCACTTGGGCTGAGATTAGGGAGACCGTCACTTGTGAACTTAAACATGAGAAGAACAGGAAGAAACAGCAGGTTTATTTAGCTTTAAAATGTCCCTGGCAAAGAACAGAACAGCCAGAGCTAAGCGTACTTCCAGGGCCCGTCTGCATGGTGTTCCTACTGAAACTTCTGCGGGTTGGTGGTACGTGGAACGCGAGGGAGTCTACCTCCCACCAGCCTTTGGGGCCCCAGAACGGAAGAGAAGAGACCAGCGACTTGGTCAAACTCCCAGTCCTTTTCATGTAGCTTTTAGTTACCTGAAAATGAAACGATCCGGTTCCTGGTAAAAGGTTTGACCCCCCTTAGAACAGGATCTGGCCAAGTCAGTCTGGCAGGTCCCAGTAAGGACGGATCTGATCCCGTATTGCCTCTTGGTGGTCAGAAGACTTTGGAGTGCCACCTAGGTGTAGTGGTGGAAGTGCTGGGTTAGAAACCAAGAGAGCCGAGTTTGAGTCCTGCATTAGGCACAAAATTCATCTGGGTGGCTTGGCACCAGCACATCTCTCTCAACCCAGCCCACCTCACAGGGTGGTGGTTGTGAGGAAAATAAGAGGCAGGAGCATCATGAACGTATTCTGCCTTCAGTTGACCCAAAATAAAGAGCTGGGATAAAAATCTAATCAGTCAATCCATAAAATGCAGCCTGGAAGACCATTTCAGACTCAAAATGTAGCTGGGGGGGGGGGCTTTCTGCCCTCCCTTGCAGGCGCCTGTTTCTTTGCAACAGGATGCAGTCGGAGGGGCCAAGGGGGGGGCCACAAGCACTCCGAGGAGGCTGCAACTTGCCTCCCTTTTGCTTAGCTGGCGGTCAGGTGCTGGAGGAGTCGCAGGTGGCCTTGTCCTTCCTGGAGTGGCTGGCCAGCGCCACGGAGCGGATCCACCAAGCCATGCACTACCAGTTTGACGGTGAGTCCTTCCTGCCAGCCACACCCGCCTCCCCTTGCCTCCTGGAAGGCTGATTAGCCGAGGAGGACAGTCGGGAACAGAGGAAAACCGAGCCCTTCTCCTGGAGCAGCCAGCGGTTGCTCACAGCAGCCGGGCACCGTCTCGGGAGGGCCCCATTTGGATTGCTGCTCCCAAAGGCCACCTGGAAGTCATAACTGGTCCAGAAAGCAGCAGGGGGCAGTGATGGACAGGTGTCTCCAGGTTAGCTCACTTTGCATCCCTGTTAGGGTAGCTGCACTTCTGGGTGCAATTTGAGATGCTGCTTCTTACCTTTATACCGTTCCTATATGGCACAGACCAGGTTCTTCGCAGGATGACCTCTCCCTAAGGACACATTTGCCTACCGCTCCTACCTCCTTCCCTTAAAATGTTGCCAGAAGGGTGCGTTTTCCGTGGCAGCCCCTTCCCGGGGGGAATGGCTAGGTGGGAAAACCTTGGGAGGCGGGCTGGAGAGAGGCTGCCCGGGGAATGGTCAGAGAAGAGAGGGCAGAGCCCAGGTCTGCGTAAGGAGCAGAGAAAGGAAGAAACCTCCCTTCCTGTAAAAAACTGGGGCTCAGGCCTTCCGTCCCTCAAGAGCATTTTCTTTCCTCTCCCGTCTGTAGGCTGTTTACGCTGTTTGTCAGTGGGGTGCTTTTAAAATACACAAGCTTTCGCCAGACCCCCCCTGGCCTTCCTATGAGTCAGCCTGGACGCCTCCGCTTTTGTTGTTGTTGTTTCAGTTTATGTTCTGTCTGCTTTCTGAGACGCCCTTAATCACCGCCTGCCCCTCCTGCCCTTGCGTGTCTCCCTCAGGCAAGCCGGAGCCCCTCGTCTTCCACGTCCCGCAGGCCTTCTTCGAGGCTCTGCAGCAGCGAATCTGCCTTGGGAGCGTCAAGATGCGGCTTCCCAACTCCACGACAGGTGCTGCTCTTCAGAGCGTGTTTCCCCTCGCTGCCCCCTCCTTCCCTGGCCCTGCGCCCACACTCAGCCTCTCCTGGGCCTGGGCACAAACTCAGCCAGCCTGAGGCCTCTGCCCAAGGCTGCCGCTCTGCTTTGCGGCTGGTGTCATTTGTGCAGGGGAGGTGGAGCACTTGAACCCTCCACCTTTGCTTCCTTGCCCCTCGCTGAGTCCCACCGCTGGGCAAGGAGCCCCCTGCCCATGCGAAGCTGCAATTGCCGACGGTTCCCGGGTGCTGGCTCAGTCCACAGATTGGGGTTTGAGGTTGCTGGGAGACGAAGCTGCCTTCCTTGCTTGACTGACACAGAGAGCGGGCACTGGGCTTGCGGCCGATGGGCATGCTCAACAGAGCTGCCTTTTCTGGGGCAGCCCTGTCCCCCACAAGCACTTGGCACTTGGTGTGACACAGGTGATAGTGCTCGTTTGAACCCGTGTTCCCCAATGGCTGCTTTTAAGACCAGGTTTGATGTGTTGGCTGGCCGCTGTTTGGGGCTGATGGAAGAGGCTGCTCTGGCTGTTTCTGCAGAGACCGGTGGGCGCTTGACTGGCAGGGAGAAAGTCCCTGGTGTATGTGGGGGGGGGGGATTTCCTATTCTATTCCATTCATTCTCATATCTATTCTATTCTATTCTATTCTATTCTATTCTATTCTCATATCCTATCCTATCCTATCCTATCCTATCCTATTCTATTCTATTCTATTCTATTCTATTCTATTCTATTCATTCTCATATCTATTCTATTCTATTCTATTCTATTCTATTCTATTCTATTCTATTCCATTCATTCTCATATCTATTCTATTCTATTCTATTCTATTCTATTCTATTCTATTCTTATGGATGCTGGACTCTCCTCCCCCATGCAACCCCAGAGGCAGCCCTTTGCAAATTTGGGAGGGGGGCTACCTGTTGCAACACCTTCCCTCCACACACACATCTCTTTTTGGCAAAAGAGTAGTCCACTTGGCTTACACTGGCCTTTGGTAGGTCCTGTCTGATTTGGATGCAAGTTTATAATGACTAGACAGATGTTTTTATTTGGGATGTTTTGTATGCCTTTGCCCTGCTTTTATTTATGATGTATTATTGTTAATACTTTTAATCTTACTACCATAAAATGCCCAGAAATATACATATATATATGATTATACGTCACCAATAATTTTTTTGTTTCTAGCTTTTGTCCGCAAAGATGCCTTACCTCTGGGTACCTTTTCTAAATACACGTGGCACATCACCAACATCTTGCAGGTGAAGCAGATCTTTGATACTGTGGAGGTAAGGCCCGTTTCTCCTTCTGACTTATGAGCTCTCCGTTTCTGAGCAGAGGACGACGACTCCGGCATGTTTGTTGAGAGGTGAACAATGGAAGTGAGTCTCTCCAACCACCTCTAGTTGCTTTAGACCAGGAAATTAAAAAGCCTCACTTTCCTTGCTGGGGCTTGCTTTCAACTTTCTAGATTTCCTCTGTTCATCTTCCAGAACGAACGTTTCCTTCTGCAACAAGGTGGTGGTGGGTTTTCTCGGGATCTCTTCTGCTCATCCCCTCTCATTCCAGATGCCTCTGGAAATAACCCGCAGCTTCATCCAGAACCGGGATGGGACCTACGAGCCCTTCAGGTGCCCCAAAGTGGAGGTGGAGAGCATTGCTGAGACCTACGGACGCCTGGAGAAGCAGCCTGTTCTTCGCCCCCTGGAACTGAAAACTTTCTTGAAAGTTGGTGAGTTTGCACGGGGGGGGGGGGGGCAGAAGAGCTGGCTTGTGGTGACCTGGGAAGTGGCTTCTCTCATTCTCCTCCTCTCAGGTAACACATCCCCGGATCAAAAGGAACCGACGCCTTTCATCATTGAGTGGATCCCGGACATCCTGCCCCAGTCCAAAATTGGCGAACTGAGGATCAAATTTGAGTACGGCCACTACAGGAACGGCCACCCTGCCGACTACCAGGAGCAGCGTCCTTCCCTGGATCAGGCCCTGGAGATCATGCCGCTCACCACCCTCACCTTCCCCTGAGCGCCCCTCGCCTCTGTCTTTGTGTGCACAGCTGCACAGGCCCGTTTCGTAGCCGGCCACTCTCTCCTGCTCCCTGCCAGCCACCGGCCGGAAGAGCCGCAGTTTCACGTGACTTCGCTGCCCACCCTCTGCTCTCCAGGAGCTTCTCACTCGGGCCTCTCTTGCAAACAGCCCCCCCCCCAGCCGAGTCAGATGGTGGAATTAGTCCTCCCTGAATCCCCAGGCCGGCTGGCGGCTCCAGCACACCCAGAGTGCCCCGGCCAACTCCTGTCCCTCCTTTCTCCCTGAGACGGCCGTCGTCCCAGCAGTTCCAAGGGCTGGCTGGCTGGCTGCTACGATCTCTTTACTGGCCTATTTTACAGTATATATTTAAAATAAATTAATTTAAGGCCATGGCAATGTTGTGAGATTAGTCATGCATATAAAAGAAAGTGAATCCATTCCCTTACAATTCAGTCCCTGAATGGGCTCTTTAAAAAGACAACGGGGGGGGGGGGGAGGAAGAGCCGGGTGTTCATAATCCTGTGCTGTTGGCAGCTGCTAGAAGTTCAACAGGTGATACTATAAGTACATTTACTTTCTACCAGTGGTGTGATCGTGGGTCAGAATTCAGCACCTAGTATAATTGAAGAATAGAATAATTAATAATAGAATAGAATAAAATAATAGAAGCTGGAGGGGACCTTGGAGGCCTTCTAGTCCAGCCCCCTGCTCAAGCAGGAGAACCTAGACCATCTCAGACAGGTGAATGTCCAGCCTCCCCTTAAAAATCTCCAGTGATGGAGCGCCCACAATTTCTGGAGGCCAGCTGTTCACTGTCAGGACGTTTCTCCTTCGTTCCAGGTTGCTTCTCTCTTTGATCAGCTTCCAACCATGGTCTCTTGTCCTGCCCTCCGGTGCCCCAGAGAATCACGTGGCGCCCTCTTCTTTGTGGCAGCCTCTCACATACTGGAACAGTATTTAGATTTCTTTTGATTTTTAAACGCCTGGAACAGCTCAGATCTCACGGAGCGATCCTCGCCTGGGCTCCATCCAGTTCAGCGCCTGGCTTGGTCCTGCTGTGGTGAGAATGTTGGCCAGCAGGGAGCTTCCTCCGTTTCCCTGCGCCGCCGCCCCCCCGCATACCCTCACCCTGGCACTATTAAAATCTGCTGCTCTTCCTGGTTGTGGGAAAAAACTGCTGGGTCAGGAGGTCCATCCAGTCCCTTAAGCAAGAAGCCGGTTATGTTCTTATGAAAACCCAACCTCTATAAAATTTCAGTGCAAAACGAATTACAAAACAGAAAACAAATGACATGGAAAATGATTGACAGAATTTCCATTCTGATGTGTTTATGATCTTCCATTCATGTTTCTCCTCTAGATAATTTTAAAGAGCACTTACTGTTCTTTTCCACCTGAAATATACCAACACTCACCATGCCAGAAAGCATTTGCCTTCTTGCCTTGTGGTGGGGATGACAAGTGAACAAGAAGAGCCTTAGCATGAATATAAAAACTCGTAAAAACCTGCGTGTCTATATTTGCCATTGTTTGCCCCCAGGTACATGTCCTTACTTGTAGGTGGAGTAATTCCTAGGCAATGTTATGACCCAGGTCGTCAAGCAAGGCAAGTCTTTAGAGAGCCTTTGTTGCTCTGAGAAGTAAATGTTCCAAGGAAAGTCCCTCCGACTCCACCCTCAAGCTGCCCTGAAGGGAGCCACCCTCAGTCCCCCAAACAACAGCCCCCATAGGACAAAGGAAGCCCCCAGAGTAGGAGCCCGCTCACAGGGGAAAGGTCCAAGGTCCCAAGTCCAGTCCATCCGGTTAAGCGAGTCCACAAAGCAAAGGCAAGGCACAACACAAAAGGCAGTTCTCAAGGCAAGTCGAAAGGCACGCGTCAAAGCCAGGGTGTGTAAGCCAAAACAAACAACTGTTCCTGGCAAAGACTAACTCCCCACAGCTTCTCCTTAATTCCCTCCCTTCCAGGTGTGAGGAGGGGTGGGGCGACCTCCTCCCTCGCAGCCCTTCTCTGGGTTTGCCTGCACAGCCTTGGGCCTCTCCAAGCATTCCAAGGGAGACTTGCCGTCCCCGGTTCCAACTCCTGCTCTGAGTGGGGCTCTGAAGGGCTGCAGTAGGTCAGAGATGCCCAGCACCCTTTTTCTATTGGGACGTCCAGCGCTCAGGACAAGGAGCCTCGTGAACCTTCCTGTCCCAAACTCTGCCGTCTCTCCAGACAGGAGGCTGCAGTGAGAAGTGTCTAGCCTGGCAGACGGCTATGTCACACGAATGAGGAGCTTCTGATTGTCTTCCAACTTCGCTGCAATCCAGATATTTTACTGGTGGTCCCTGCAGCTGCTTTCACTAACTTTCTAATTTGCTGGAAAGATGCACATTTGCTTTGGGCAAATGAAATTGCTTCAGTTTGCTTAGAATAAATGGAGAAGCCGGTTCTGCATTTCGTGGCTTTCCAATAGGGAGGGAACATCCCAGCTCCTTGCAGTCGCTGATCTCTGCTGAAAGGACAGCACAGGGGATCAAAAGCAACACTGTACTTCTTTTAACCAAGATCCATTTGTGCCTTTTTTGCTGTTTATGCTAACAAAGAGATGGGAAACAATTATATACTGTATGCCACACCTTTTACAAGCAAAAAGTAAAAAAATCTTCATGCTAAATATGACATTGCCCTTGTGTATTTCAGTAAAGCCTGTTAGGGCTGTTTTGGAGGCTGTCTAAAAATCAATATTTTGCAGCAGCAATAAATGTCTTTGGAGACCTCTCACTCCAAAATCAGAATAAATTGCACTGCAGCAACACTTAGAACCATAACCCTAATAGTAAAAAACACAACAACTCTATTCCACTTCTAAGTTCCAGATGTCTTCCAAGGAACAACATCCATAACTAACCAAACAAGCCTAACATGACAAAAACTAGCAGCAACATTTATTTTCCTTATACAATTTGATTTAAAAAATAACCAATTAACCGAATGATCCTATTATCAATAATCTACCAATCCTAATTGGGAAAGTAGGCTGTCAGTCTCCAAAAACCAAAAAAGGCCTTCCAATACTTCTAAGCAGATTTATTTATTGCTCGTCACCTATAGACAGAGTTCTAGGCAAACTAAAGCGAAGAAAAAGGAGTGCAGACTTGTTGGTCCTGAAGGACTTTAGGGAAACCCGTACTTCTTCCAGAGGAATCCTTGGGCTACTGCTATAATTACAGTATATTTTCTTAGAAAAAAATAAAAGACAACCTGGACAAAGAGGCAAAACTGAAAGAGATTCATAAGGATACACATTTTAATTGTTCATTTTAATTTCCTTTGTTCTACAAAGGAAAATTCAAGAGCAAAACTAGGGAAAACTTTACAAAACAAATAGTCTAAAAAGTGCTAGGAAATGGTAGGAAACAAAATATTAAAAACGATTTCTGTAATCACACTGTGATTAAGTGGTACCATTTTTACAGTAAAAGGGAAATGAGCCAAAGAAAGGACAAATGGGAGTTTTTGGAAAAAAAACACAATGAAAGCAGAGTGTTCTGAAATAAAAGGCTGTCCTTTATAGTAAAGGGTGCTTGGTCATTGTAGCCGTAACTGAAAAAAAAAATCAATGGCAATTCAGTTATATTTTTATGGATCTTGTCAAATCATATTTATATTCAAATTTCTCCCTTTCACAATGTTAATGGAAGAAATGTTATAAAGATTGTTTAAATTTAATTACAATGGAAATGTTAAATTAAATCAAGGGGTAGGATTTCTGCCTGTTTGTTATTTCCCCCCATCCCTCAAACAGCCTTTCCTCGGAGCCCCAATACTCGCGCCAGGCGACCGGGAGCCTCCCGACCAAGAAAAACAAATTCTCCCAGACCAGACCAGGTTTATCGGAAGGGAAAAAATAGCCTGGCTTAGGGAAATCTTGGCAACTGGCCCATCTACTTTAGCGCCAGAGCCTCCAGCAAAGACGGGGCTTCCGGGCTGCTTCTGGGGACCCAGCCAGGCGAAGGAAGCCTCCAGCTCCACACTTGCAACGTTGTGTGAACAGCCGCCATTCCTTAGGCCTGAGAAGCCCATGCGATCCACGGCTGCTCTGATCACCGATCTCCTCGGGACACCATCAGGCAGTAGCCGAATCCCTTCCCCCTTTTCAAGGCCCCCCCTTCAGGTCTTTTCCTTCTTTGTCCTTTCCTAAAGGATTTTTATCTAATTCCTTTTCCAGCTCTTGCTGGAGGATGAGGGGACGTCCTTTCGTCATTGGTGCAGTGTGGTGCCATTTAACCAGATGAAGGATTCTTTCATGGAAGGCTTTGTGCAAATTCTGTGCTAAATTCATTCTGGATTTCTGTGACTTATTCATGCACATCTGGGATGGGACAAAGTAGAAATTTAAATAAAGCTAAGACGTGGTTCATTGTGAGCAAGTGTTTTGAAATGTCTTAACGGAACATTTTCAACCTAAGGCACAAAGACTCCCCCACCCAGGGATTTCCTTCCCCTGAAACTGACTCTCTGCGTTCTGAATCTCTCCGTGTCTTCCTCCTTCAGACGAGGGCAGCCTCCAGTTTTCCCTGCTCTGCTCAGCTGCCCAGCAAGGGGTGCTCTAAGCCGCCTTTTCAAGCCCAGCGGCCGCCCTTCCGCTCCTTGTGGGGCCGAAGCCAGGAACGGACGGCCAGGGCGGGCAGGCGGAGGGGGGATCCGAGGGAATGAAGGAAAAGACAATGCCGGCTTGGCTCTCTCCCATTCCCTGACATTCTGAAGAAATGGGGAAAGGCTCCAGAACTCTCCTCTCGGCCCCTGTAAAGGGGAGGCTTGCCTGGCACAGGGACGCTGCCCAAATGACGCCACCAGTTTAATGTTTGAGATAATTTGACGAAGGCAAAAAGGGCACCGTGAATTTCTGAAATGTGGACTGCCTGCCAGATTTGGAGGTATGTTTTTTTCCCCGATAGAGAAAGCTCTCATCAAATAACATCCCATACATTTTATCCTTTCACAGCCAATTTTTCATAAGTGAAGGCTCACAGTCTTTCATGCCCTGCTAGGCGGTTAACACCATCCATTAATCTTCATTAAGCATTTAAAAATAAATACAAAATATAGTCCCCTGGGGCAAAACTATCTCCAAAAACCCTGCAGCAGAGGATATTCCACCCCATCTGACTGGAAAGTGAAAGGAAAACATCTCTAATAAAATCTGACACAAAGAAACAGCTGAGCCTCTGTCTTCCTTAGACCCACCTCAGGTATCCGGTTCTGATGCAGAGAAGCGCAGTGCAGCTGATCAGGGGCCTCTGGAACCAAGGCGGAGGAGGAGAAGCTGAGGGCA